TAACTCCATTAACGCAATGAATAACACAAAATATTCTCCAATTTAGTTAAGCAAGTGTTTAGAAAACTTAGTACCTGAACGCCAGAAAGTGATACCTTCAGTTCAAAAACGTGGTACCTTTGGAAAAAAAGTGGTACCTTCTAAAAAAAGACTTATTTTTGCAATTGAAAATGGTATTATACCACACACCGCTAATTAGGTTGCACATTGGATCAATAAATAGCTCCATTAGGGCCATGAATAATACAAAATATTCTCCAAGCTAGCTAGAGTGTTTAGAAAACATGGTACCTCGACGCCAAAAAATGGACTTTTTTTTTGCAATTGAAAATTGTATTAAACCCTACACCGCTATTGAGGTTGCACATTACATCCATAAACAGCTCCATTAATACCATGAATAACACAAAATATTCTCCAATCTAACTAAACGAGTATTTAGAAAACATAGTACCTGGACGCCAAAAAGTGATACCTTCAGTCTAAAAACACGGTACCTTTGGAAAAAAAAAATGGTACCTTCGCAAAAGGGACTTATTTTTGCAATTGAAAATGGTATTACACCATACACCGCTAATTAGGTTGCACAGTGGATCAATAAATAGCTCTATTAGGGCCATGAATAACACCAAATATTTTCCAAACTAGCTAGAGTGTTTATAAAATATGGTACCTCGACACCAAAAAAAAGTATTTTTGCAATTGAAAATGGTATTAAACCCCACGCCGCTTATTAGGTTGCACATTACATCGATAAACAGCTCCGTTAACGTCATGAATAATACAAAATATTCTCCAATCTAACTAAATGAATGTTTAGAAAACATAGTACCTGGACGCCAAAAAGTAGTACCTTAAATCCAAAAATGTGGTACCTTTAGAAAAAAAAGTAGTACCTACGCAAAAGGGCATTTTAGGCAACACATAAAATAGGAAGAATGGTATTTTAGGCAATAGAAATATGAAACAGTATTTTTTCATGTACCACCTCAGCTTTTGGGTCAAACACATTTTAGAGAAATTATTATCTTTGACTCAATGTATGAATAAATATGGACCACTAAGTTCATTTATATGTAATAATCCCTTGATATTATCTATATATATTTATATAGATATGGATATGGACATATATATTAATGGGGTGAAATATCAATCCACTTCTCAACCAGAAAAATGATATCTGGGCTGAAATAAACCAACCTGACTAGACACGGTGTCATTTATTCCACATGAATTCATTGGACAATTGGGGTCTAATCCGTCTATGAGATTTGTTGGCTTTTGTAATTATTATCATATTTTAATTAATGAAGTGATGAGCAAAAAAAAGAGAGAAAATCCTCTCCAATTCTTATATACTGCAATGCACTTGAAGTTCATTACCATAGATTTTGGTTCGAGAGAGCAAACATCACAAATATGGTTATATAAAAATTATTACAAGATCCCAAACTACATAGTCACATGAATAGAGTGTGAATGCATTTGTATTCTTTTTCATCGTCTTTTGGTGAGAGTCCATGATTCTGATGCGGATGCATCTTCGCTGGGAGCCTGGGAAGCCTGGGATGTACACACACACACACACACACACCTATTGTGTTGGTGAGTGTGAGAGTCCAGATGGTTTAGAGGTGGCTCTATCTGCCTATTTGTTGGACTTACCCTTTGTCAACAACTGGAAAAACGTGTCTGGTCCGTTGATTTAATGTTTAAGTTTCAACCACAAAATATTTTCTTGCCCTGTTCTGTCAACAGCAAAATTGCAAATCTGACGAAACTTTTAGAAAATTGAAATGGAAAAGATTGTTTGTTTTATCAAAATGAGTCTAATATATATATATACATATATTGACCAGCATATGCTGATATCCTCGTATAGTGATGCTGAACACCTCTAATTTCAATTTCTGTTCTGAATTTTGTATTTTAAGATTTGAAATTTAAGAAGTTTGGTGTGTGTGTGTGTGTGTGTGTGTGTTTTTTAATTTTAATTTATTTTTATTTTATTTTATTTTTTTATTATTATTATTTTTTTCATTTTCATGAGAGGGAAGTATATTAAGTTTGGAGGTAGATAAGTGCTAATTATAGCATTTGACAGTGGCACTCCTAATTGGTTAAGATTCCTAAAATTACAGGTTGATTAATTAAATGTCTCCTACCATTATGAAATATTTAAAATACAAAATTATAGAACAAAAGTACCCTTTTAATTATTTATTATCTTCCTAAGTTGATTCATATACATATGTTTATATATATATTAATAACATTATCATAATGGATTATGATTATTATTATTATTATTATTATTTTATGAATTCTTTTCTTAAAGTATCTCCAACCGTTGTGTATATATATATATATATATATTTTTTTTTTGTGATGTGTCATAATAAATTTACACAAAAAATTTGGATTATTTATTTTTAAATCAGCAATTCTTAATATAGAGTTGATTCATTAAGGGAATGAGAAAGAGAGAGGAGAAATGAAATATGTTAATGTGGCTGTGTAAAATACACAATAATTTTACACATTGATGATGTGACAGTATATCTTAACAGGATACTAGAGATAAAAATGATTATACATCATATGTATATATATGAATCCATATATATATATAAAGGAAAGTTGTTGTTTATATATATAAATACTCAATCTATATATATATAAACCTAGATAGGGAGGCAAATTACGACACGACCCGCCAATACGACATGAGATAAGCGGGTTTGGGTTGACCTTAAATGGGTCGGGTCATAAATAGGTTGACACGATTAATCTGTTTACTTAACCGTGTCGAGTTAAGGTTGAGAAGTTCAACCAATGTAACCTATTTATATCTGTTTAACTCAATATGTCATAATTGTGAATATAACATATGTAACATGTTACCAGTTTAAATCCAATTACTATAGACAGTCAAGTAATTTCAACATAAATCTTGACTACGGCTTATAATTTTTCTTCTTATTTTGAATTTTTTGGTTAATTATGACAATTTTTTTTTTCTACTATTTATTATTTGATTGAATATTAAATGTTTTGTTTTGATAAATGGGTTAATACGTTGCTCTCAGGGGCATAGCGGCGTTGGCAGGGATCTAAGAGATAAGTTGGTCTCGCTTTCAAACCGCACTCCTGACTTGAATGGTGTGTGTATTGTGGGGCCGATACACGTGCTCTAAGGAAAAAAAACGAATTAACACGTTTACCCGTTTAATCAATATGTCGAGTTAGTGTTGAAGGTTCCTGAAACAATTATTAAATAGGTCGGATTTAAATTTACCTATTTAGTAGAATGCTCTAACATTGACACAACACGATTATAACCCACGAACATGAATTGTCACCCTTACATATATATATATATACACACACATGACACATGCGCCATCCAAGTAAAGAAAGAGAATAAATTCATAAAAAGGGCACTTTGTCCTATAAATTTATATTTTAAATGTCTCGTAACAGTACGAGGCATTTAATTAAACATGGTATAATTTGATAAATCTTAACTAATTATAAGTGTTACTGTCGAAAAACAATCACATATGCCATTACAATTAACGCTCTTAAAGAAATATTAATAAAAAATTCGATCTAAAATTTTTTTAAAAAAATAAGTGCGAATGACATGAACGGTGAAATCCACACCTCCATTAATGGCCGACGCACTTCAGATTGTTTTCTTAATTTTCATGTTGAAATCGAAAGTATGGTTGAAGTCTACAGGTGTAACATTAATTATTCAAGGGAACCAAAATTTTCTGGTCAAGTGAGCTTCAGATGTTCCGGTCCACTTCAGATGTCACCAATTACGCATCAATGTGTCTCTTAGTATCTTACGTATGCCCAAACATCCAAGTCAGAATTGGCCACCCACATAAATATATGAGGCACCATTATTTGTACATCCCTCCAAAATCACACAGTCGTCAACCATGACACCACCCAATATCATTTTACCAAATTAAACTGTGTGTGTGTGTGTGTTTGTGTTTGTATATATGTGGTCTCCGCGTTGAATTCACTTCTTACTTGTAATTTGTCATTATATACTTAAACTAATTAGAACATTCCATTTTGAACATTAAAAAGAACTAATAAAATCAAAATTGGCCATCTAATGAATCCTTATTGGTGATATTAAATTTTACTAATTTCTCAAAAGATATTTGATAAAAATAAAATAAAAATAAAAGACTGGATGTCAAAACATGTCTACGCTGTTAAAAACACTAACATACTCATAAACAACCCAGTGGAATGGACTCAATAAACAAATAACACCATTGCAAGACAATGACAAACAGGCAGGAGATGATAAATTAAATTAGAGTAAAAACAAATTCTTAAACTCTCTCTCTCTCTCTTTTCTTTTTCTTTCTTTTCTTAACAAAATGTTATGTTTGAAAGTATTCATGGACTTAGAATTAAAATTAGAATAAATTTAATTTATATTATTCAAGAGGTTCAAAGTGTATCTATAAAATTCTTTATTTCATTGGTCAAGAAATCTCATTAAATACCATATATATTTATATATTAATCTCAACAACATTTGTGAGATAACGCATAAAAGTTACTGTATAAATCTAAGCTTATTTGATGGGCCCAATTACTGTTACTTGTCCAGTTAAATAAATAAAAATAATAATTAAAAAAAGAGTTCATAGAAATTAATCATGGGATTTTTCTTCTTAGTTTCGTGAAAGTTAAAACTGAAAACGTGTTGATCATGAAGCACTTTTCTTTCCAAAACCAATAAAATAATCATGTGCCTTTTATTTGTAGTGGGTACTCACAAACTCTCTCTCTTTATATAATTTGATTTCTTGTGTTCACACGTGACATGTTGATTCCAAGAAACTTCCTCATCTTTCACCGTACACACGACACGCGCACATATATTCCATAGAGTTATTATCATATATATAGAGGCATAAGCGAACCCTCTGATCATATAATTATCACACCCCTCTTACAACAGCCACTCACTCTAACCTACCATTGTTTCCTTCTCTGCAACAACTTAAAGATGAAGAACCAAATCAAATGCTTTTCCTTTTCTTGGTCTCTTCTCTTCATGCTTATTCTCTTGCATGCAACATCAACCTTCGCTCAAGAAGTTGGTACTTCCACAAACTTAATTATATAAATACATTTATATATATGTGTGTGTATTTAGTGACATGGATTTTTTCTTTAATGTAAATTTTGATATGCATGTGAATTCCACATATATATATATATATATATATATATATATATATATATATATATATATATAATGCAGAGGATGAGAGAGAGTTTGATTATGGTGAAAGGAGCGAAAAGGGTCCTCGGCGGTGGGGAGAGCTAAAGGAAGAGTGGGCTGCATGCAAGAATGGAGATATGCAGTCGCCGATTGATATGTCAAACCTGAAGGTGAAGATGATCCGAAGGTCCAGGGAGCTCAAGATGAACTACAAACCTTGTAATGCAACTGTGAAGAATAGAGGTCATGACATAATGGTAAGGAATTATTTAACTCTTCATTATTTTATAACATAATAATTAAGTTATGATTTAGGGCTTTAATTAACACAATCACAATTATATTTATATTATATATAGGCAAAGACAGTAAAGTGATCGATGCTTTTGTTTGAGCTGATAGCTGTATTCTTGTCGCGCGCGTCTGTGTGAGTGTGTGTATCATTCGCAAATCACTCTCCCCACCTCCCCCACCGGCTACAATAATGGAAGGGCATGTTTGACAATTCACTAAAAAGTAGAACACCTGAATTATGAAACTGCCTTTTTATTTTTTTATTTTTTATTTGAAGTGACAAGAATGTCTTTATAATTACGAGAGAAAAAAAATTTCTTTGAAGTGACATATAAGTAAAAAATAAAATAAAATTAATCCATTTATTTGTATGTCACCATGATCCAGAATTATATAATAATTTCTGGATGCAAGTCTGATGGAAGATTATTGAAATTGCTACTTGTTGCATTTAATATATATTACACAATTTATTAATACCAAAATCATATGATCATGTATAATATGTATGCAGCTTAAATGGGCTGGTGAAACCGAAGCTGAATCCAAAGCTGGATCCATTCAGATAAACGGCACTGATTACTTTCTCCGACAAGCCCATTGGCACTCACCCTCGGAGCATACCATCAATGGCAGGAGGTATATATATCTCTCTCTCTCTATATATATATACATATATACACACACACACATATACACACACTATATTTAGTTGAACAACTTCATATCTACCATGTTTGTTAATAGGTATGATGTAGAGCTGCACATGGTTCACGAAAGCCCGGACACCAACGTGAAAAATAACATAGCTGTTACCGGGCTTCTCTACAAGTTTGGTAAAGCTGATGCGTTTCTTTCTAAGGTAAAGCCTTTCATGCCCCTAGTACTACGTGTTAGTGTGTGTAATTAATAATTATGACCATTTGGACTTCTTAGATATTTGTCAAATTAGTCACAGCTTCTATATGTTTTGAAATGGGAAAAAGGTTACAAACTTTGTGTGCGTGGATCTCAACAATATTGCCAATTTACCTAACCTTGTCGTATCATCACCAAAACCAAATTTTAGAAACTATGGTCATTTTTGAAACAATGTTTGAAACTTTGAAATTAACCGTGTTCAGTTACAGTACAACACAATTGACAAATTATTTTCAAATTAACTTAAGTATGATCGATTCTAATTTCAGATAAGGTCACAAATGAAAGTATAAGAGAAAAATTAGACATGACACCCATTAGTGAGAAAATAAAAAAAAAAAATTTAGTATACCTAAATGATTCAGGTGCATATACACGAGACTTAAAGAAATAATGAGTGGTTGTATTATTATATCTATTTTTTTTCTAATTTTCTGTTTATTATTTTTTATTTCAGTTGACTGGCAATATGGCATCCATGATTGATAGAATGGAAGAGAGAAACGCGGGAGTGATGGATCCGAGAGAGATAAAGACGGGTGGTAAAAATTATTACAGATATATGGGTTCACTCACTGTTCCTCCATGCACAGAAGGTGTTATTTGGACAATGAATAAGTAGGTAAGAGCCTCATGATCAACCTCAACTCTCTCTAACCACTACTTTTATGCTTCATTTTATGGACAATTATGAGTTCTTTAACCTAAATTTGAACCACCTTCAGGTGAGGACTGTTTCAAGAGAGCAAGTTAAGTTGCTTCGACGCGCTGTTCACGACTTAAGTAGCTAAACTTCGTATGTAAATTTTTGCTCATTGTTTCAAAAGTTGGATTTCAAGCATAACATAACATTTGTATAATTGGTTTTCATTGCAGTATGCAGAGAAGAATGCGAGACCATTGCAGCCACTGAACAGTCGAGATGTCCATCTTTACGAACCCTAGTTTAGCCCAGGAATAACAGTAATTGGTGATAATTAGAGAGAGAGAGATGAACTATAGTTACTATTAGTTAGCCTTATAGTTCCATTTTTTTCCCCTTTTGCTAGAGTAGATTATTCATTCTGAACACCATGATCTGATATTTTTATTGTTCTTCATCATCATATACATGGAGATACCATGTTTTTTGCTTTATATAATCAGCTATGTTCATCCAATTTGTGGTATTTTCAATATTCACCCTGTATTTATTGTGACAAGTCCTGCATTACTTGTAAGAATTTCTCATCCATAGATCACTCAAGAAAGAATTCATGAAAGAAGTTAGGCCAATAGCGACCCCAAGAAAAAAATAAAAAATAAAAAAAATGACTGGAGCTTGCAAAATTTGAAGTAAATGAAAATAATGTATGAAGAAGTAGGATTTTCTTTTTGTAAAATGAACGGAGCAGAGGAGAGAGAGAGATCTCCAAGTTAAGGCATTATCAATGTCCTTTTCTTTAGACCATTGATATATTCTAAACAAAACTGTAACGACAAATGACGCGAAACCAAAATACGAATGCGCCACAAGTGGTTAAAGCCATGGGATGAAGTACAGTGAAGGACTTTACCATGCCAAAAATAAGATATTACAAGTTTCAACTCCCAAACCCTTGTTCTATCAAACCATACCACAAATCCTTTTTAATACCCTTATAGACTCTGTTACAAGAGTCTACAGCCCGGGTCCTCAACCGGCAAGAGAGCGGGTTCTTTCAGGTCATAACCGGGTCAATGCCGAAACAAAATTCGAGCCACAACCTCAAGCTGTTTCAAGGACAATATCCCCAAAACTAACAGTCCGTCAACCAGGAGAACAAGCTACACTAGTGCTGTGCAACCTGTGCATTGTTCATGGTTGAATTTGTCTCCTGGATAACCTAAATTTGTTTCAAGAAAACCATGAAGCCAAACATCAAAATCTGTCTCAAGACTATCAAAAAGTGACACATTTATGAGGAAAAACAAATTTCCAATTTCATACCAATCAATCTAAGCATAGTACAGTGGACTTGTGTTCTTCCAGACAATAATTAGCCTAGCTTGTATCTAGTAGTAATGGGAATACAGATGAGAGCCCAAGAATGAGTAATCAAGTAAGATTCCTAACGCAATCAGAATAGAATGAAGGAATGGATCTTCCATCCCTTCCTGCTCCTTGTGCCAATAAAATTCCCCGCTTGGTAATGCACTATTGCTTGTCAAAAACAAGCTACCGCGAACTAGAAAGTCTTTCGGAAGTCTTGGGAAAGAACCCAATCATCTCACCATCTGTGTGATTCCCGATGAGCATGAGGCAGGTCCACCTTATGTCTGCCTCGTATTGTAGGAGTTGCATTTTAGGCACTTGTGTGCCACAATGTGAAAATTTACCTCAGATGTTTCCCCACAGTCATTACAGAGGATCCAAACCTATTTAAAACCAAAATGTAAATATTTTAGAAAATGTCACCTAGATTTAGTTAGCTAAGTATTAGCACTTTATCATTCTTCCTTACCATCTTATTTTGGTTTATTTGAGGGATGGTTGTTGAAGCAACCTGAATTCAGATTCACAAAAAAGATTAGTTAGGATAAAACAGGGGTTTCTTCAGGGTAGGATCACAACAGATCTCCTTATAATTGAGTTATATTACTGTATTATCTTTATACCTCCTGATCAAGGCTTTGCCACACACGGAACATATCACAGTACGATTTTGAGCAAACAGGACATGAATACCTGCACCCTCAGAAAGTTAATATAAAAACATATAGCCCAAGAACTAACAAAAAAGAACAAACAAGAGATTTCTGATTTGAAATATCTAATACAGTAATAAAATAAATGAGAAATCTAATATAACGGCTTATTATAACGGACCGACTTACTGGAAATGTTGTTCCATCTGCTTAACACATTCCAAATGAATAGTGTGCCCACATGGCAAGACAGTAATGTCCTTGGTTGTATCAAAAATATTCTGCACAAAGATATGGAAAATCTCAGCAAAGAAGAAAAATAGGATTTCCCATATTTATTATCATATTCTTTCAGTGAGGTTTACCTCAAAACAAACAGGGCAGTTATGGTGCATAGCTCTTTCAACGCAAATGTGTGAATCCTTCAACAACCTTGAATAACAGCATCCTGAAACAGAAATCACACGTCTCACACAGTTCAACATAATTATTAAGATCCCAGTGCACGAGGCTTCTGCCAATGTGGGGTCTGAGAAAGGTTAGATGCACGCAGTCTTACCCCTACATGCGGAGAGACTGTTTTCGTGACTCAAACACATGACCTCCAAGTCACAATGGAGCAACCTTACCGTTGCACCAAGGCTCACCCTCATCTCACACAATTCAACTGCTGAACGAAAAAATCACGGAAAGGAGCTCTCTTCTATTGAATTCAGAAGTTCATATTGTTACTTACTGCATCTATTACAATGAAAAAAATTGTCTTCCCCTCCTGTTTTGCCATATGGAAAAACAGTGCAAAATGTTTACCTAGAATGATATTACATGAAGAATATAGGATTACTAAAATCAGAATGATTTAAATCATTTAGTATGGTTTGGCTCTATCACGAAAGACGAATAATTGAACTCATAAGGTGGGAAAGTATGACTTAAGTCCAAAATTTAAGGTTGAAAAGGGTAGGTGTTACAAGGGTAGACTTGTCCCACATCGAATCCGGATAGAAAGTGACATGGGTATAAATGGGTGGGTATGTAGTACTACCAAATAGCTTTAGTTTTTGGATAAATGGGAAAGCGCCCACCCATTATAGTTGGTATCATAACCAGATCCAGTCCTTGATCTGGTGTCACGCCAAGCGGTCCGGAGGGTGTCCAAGTCTTCACCCCGAGTAGGCAGGGTGGTTCGACCGTAACGAAGACATTACGTGGGTTCCGGTGGAGGAGAATGTTACAAGGGGAGTCTTGTCCCACATCGGATCCAAATGAAAAGTGACATGGGTATAAATAGGTAGGTATGCAGCACTACCCAACAGTTTGAGCTTTTGGGTAAATGAGCAAGCGTCCACCTGTTACACCTGTTACAGTTTTGGGTAAATGAACAAGCGCCCACCTGTTAAAATAGGCCAAAAATTCTAGTGTATGGTTAATCATAGAAACAGTAACAGAGATGGGAAGAAAAGAAATAATATAGAAAAACCTGCAGATTCCACATTTATCACAGTGATATTGCTTCTTTGAAACCTATAATAGAAATCATCTTGTTGTTTAAGTATATAACCACCGCACATGAATTTTCATCAAGGAATATTATCAAAGAGGCTTACATCGTCATCAAAGAACTTGCATTTTGAACAATAATACTTCCCCATGCAAACCCCACAACAAAACTTGAAGGAAATCAAAGAAAAAGCAAAACCCAGTCATAAACAAAAAAAAAAGGGCCACCTGCATTCGCCATCAATGTGCCTCTTGGAAGATGCCCAATGAGGTGATGACCTAACATATAAAATTTTGAAAATGGGCTCCGTTTATTTGGATATAAAATAGTTTTTTTAATTTTTTTATGTTTGGTTGTCGTAAAATATTTATGAAAAAAAAAAATTATTAAAATTTAACAAAAATAACTTATTTATCAATTTTCGACAAATTATTTTACATACACCACCCGATAGACTCAACCTCAATCTTGACGTAGACATTTGTCAAATACTGAAAAAATAAAAATAAAAGAATATTTTACCAGGAAAAAAAAAAAAAAAAAAAAAATTACGTTGAAACTAACGGAGTTAATGGAGAATCATCACCTTCCTCATTCTTGACTTAAATTAAAATCTTTAACAAGCAGCCACATAATTTCTCTACTTCTATTTCTTTCTACTACTTGTCATATCACCTACTACTTATTTAACTTTTTAAAATCATTTCTAATGAGTAATAGTTTCTATCACATATTATTTTTTTGTCTCCCTCATTTCTTACGACTAATGAAATTTAAACCTCTCATCACCTATGCATTTATAGGTCTCTGGTGTATGTGCCCAAACTATTTAAGTTTCCTCTATCTTATTTTCTAGCTAATTAAGAGAGAAAAAATTAAATTGAATAATTTCTGAAAAAAAAAAAAAAAAAACAAAAAACAAAAAAACAAAAAGAAGAGAGAGACTGAATAAATTCATAGACCAAGACTCAATAGCAACTTCTAAGTCATACTCAATTTTGTTTACAAGTCTTATCGAGCCAAAGGTTTAATACAAATGTTGTCTTTTGCTTCTTAGTCTTTCCTTGGAAAAAAAATGTTGTGAATAAATGAGAACGCAATTTGGGCTTGTGGAAGTCTTGTATTGAGGCGCACATGAGCCCAAAAGGCTGGTCTCATAAAAAGACTTGTCTCACAATTTGGGCTTATGTAGTCAGTCTCCTATTGAGGCGCACATGAGCCCAAATGGATCATCTCATAAAAAGACGAGTCGAAATTGTTCAAGAAAATATCGACTGACAATGAAATACTAACAAGATTACCAGTTGGGGAAAGAAATAATACAGTAATTACCAGTTGTTTATTTTTTTATTTTAAAACGATAGTATCACTACGACGGTGACACTTGGATATGCCACCTGTACTCAGACGTAATGGCAGCTCATCTCTCACATTCTACCAGCATTACTTTTCCTATTTTGTTGGAGAGAGACCAGAAGGTTTCAATTAAGGTAGGCAAATTAAGGTAGGCAACGTGCCTGTCTTTACTTTGTTGTCTACAAAACAGAGAAGTTGAAGAATAGTATAAAAATTTTGAAGAGAAAATCGGTACGTTTCTTGTTTTGAAGGGATCACAAATATTTGTTGAGGAATAAGAGTAAAAATAAATAAATAAAGAATTTTAGAGGGACATTTTGTAACTTGTGTCAATATTAGTGATAAACAGAAACTTAAAAAGTTATCACGTTATTGATAGTAGGAGAGGTCCTACACAAAATTTAGTGATTAAGATTACATCATTATTAATGGGTCCTATTTATCAATTCAATCTCGACCATTAGATTATGTGTTGGACCTATCATGCGGGAGAGGATTCTTATCCATTTTTGTGAGCCATTTTATTGAATGATATATTTTGATTAGGTGAGCACAAGAATGACATGAAATGTCCAACTCACCTAACTTCTATTCCGCTAAATTTGAGTGACGGTCAATTTGATTTTGTCTTTGTTACGGATAATATTTATCTACTTACCGGTGAGCACGTCTCTTGAATAAATAACTTCTACTTATGTGCATTTGTAATTAAACCACATTTGTAGGAATCACCTAGTATTTTATTCGTTTTGGTTAAATTTTTCCATCATCACTATGTAACGCGTTTATTCGTTTTGATTGCTCCATTTAATTCGTGTTTATACTTTAGGTTAACCTAATTATTTTTTTTTTTTTTTTCGTTCACGTTTCTAATCATGTTTTTTTCTCAAACAAACATTCTTAACACAAAGTATCGTCTTTTGTTTGGTATAGCCCTTCTCTTTCACACTATCAAAATAATACTATTTGTTGTGTAATCTCGAAAAAGGCTGTGACCACTCAGTTGTTATACTATCACTCTATTTTTTATTTTTTTTAATCTCTTATTATTGTCAATTCAATGCTTGATTTTTAATAAAAATAATAAAACACACATATATATATCTTGTGGAACACTATAATTTTGAAGAATCATAAATTTTTATTGATATTTGACATTTATAAAATTTTTGTTTTACTTTTAGATCTTTTAAATTTTGTTAGTATCTTTATTATTATTATTATTATTATTATTATTTTGGAAGTTTGTAATTCACCACAGTCACTAAATGTTTTGGTAGAATATAAAGATATTTTTACAAATATTACACCATATACTTATGCATTTATTATAAATATATAGGCTATCAAGGACAAAAAAAAAAAAAAAAAAAAATGGGGAATGCATTTGGGGATCATGTTAGAACAAAATTCTAACAACCATAGAAGTATTTCAATAGTCAAATCACATTTATCCGAGGTAAAAGGTACAAATATTGAAATTAATTTGTTCAAAAGTACCCTAAGAGGTTCAAACAGCTGCATTTTATTTTTAATTTAAGCAACATAGTTGATTAATTGAATTAGAAATGGACCTATGGTTATTGATTAATTATATTTAGATAGTTTATTTCTGTTATGATTATTCTGATAGTGTTAATTGTAATATATTTATTTTATTATTTGTTGCCTATTATTCATTGTCGTTACAAATATTTGATATATAAGAAAAAAATAAGATGTTTATGGAATAATGAAGCCCCCGGTAGTGACATCAGCAGGTATAGCCGAATTTTTAGTACATATAACGTATTATACACGTACATATTCGTATTTTTATGTTTCCGATTTTTTTAAACGATTTTTTTTTAAAAAATATCAAATTATACTCGTACGTTTCTGTATCCGTAATTTTTTTTGTACCGTATTTTACTAACTATGGTGTCATCTATTCCACATGAATTCATTGGACAATTGGCCGGAGTCTAATCCGTCTATGAGATTTGTTGGCTTTTGTAATTATTATTATATTTTAATTAATGAAGTGCAATTATTGAAAATAACGTGGTAACTTCCTAAATTTCCTTTTATCACTAGTATTGACACAAGTTACAAAATGTCCCTTTAAAATTCTTTATTTATTTATTTTTACTCTTATTCCTCATCAAATATATGTGATCCCTTCAAAACAACAAATGTACCAATTTTCTCTTCAAAATTTTTATATTCTTCAATTAGGGTCTAATCCGTCTATGAGATTTGTTGGCTTTTGTAATTATTATTATATTTTAATTGATGAAGTGCAATTATTGAAAATTAGAGTACCACAAAAAAGAGAGAAAATCCTCTCCAATACACTTATATACTGCAATGCACTTGAAGTTCATTACCATAGATTTTGGTTGGAGAGAGCAAACATAACTCAAATACGGTCATATAAAAATTATTACAAGATCCCAAACTATATTAGTCACATGAATAGAGTGTGAATGCATTTGTATTCTTTTTCCTTGCCTCTTGGTGAGAGTCCATGATTCTGAGGTAGATGTTCGCTGGTATATATATATATATATATATATATATATATATATCGTGTTGGTGAGTGTGAGAGTCCAGGTGGCTCGATCTGCCTTCTTATTGGACTTACGCTTTGTCAACAACCCGAAAACCGTGTCTGGTCGGTTGATTTAATTTTCAAGTTTCAACCCAAATGACCACAAAATCTTTTCTTCCCCTATTCTGTCAACAGCAAAACTGCAAATCTGACGAAACTTTTAAAAAATTGAAATGGAATAAGATTGTTTGTTTTATGAAAATGAGTCTAATATATATATATCCACACACACACACGTACATACATATATTAATATAGCGACGCTGAACACTTTTAATTTCAATTACTGTTCTGAATTTTATATTTTAAGATTTGAAATTTAAAAAGTTCGGTGCCGTAAAACAGATAAAAAAATAAAAGTGTGAATGATATTAAAGTGTGAAAAAAAAAAAAAAAAAATATGATATTAAAGTGAAATCCACACCTCCATTAATGGCCGTCGCACTTCAGATTGTTTTATTAATTTTGATGTTGAAATCGAAGTATTGGTTGAAGTCTACAGGTGTAACATTAATTATTCAAAATTTTCTGGTCAAATGAGCTTCAGATGTTCCGGTCCACATCAGATGTCACCAATTACGCATCAATGCGTTTCTTAGTATGCCCAAACACATCCAAGTCTGAATTGGCCACCCACATAAATATATGAGGCACCACTATTTGTACATCCCTCCAAAATCCCACAGTCGTCAACCATGACATCACCCATCATGTCACCAAATTAAACTTTTTGTGTGTGTGTGTGTGGTCCGCGTTGAAATCACTTCTAACTTGTAATTTGTCATTATATAATTAAACTAACTAGAACATTCCATTTTGAACATTAAAAAGAACTAATAAAATAAAAATTGGCCATCTAATGAATCCTTATTGCTGATATTAAATTTTACTAATTTCTCAAAAGATACTTAGTAAAAAAATACAAATATATATAAAAAAAGGCTGAATGTCAAAACATGTCTGTGCTGTTAAAAATGCTAAAAATACTCATAAACAACCAAGTGGAATGAACTCAATAAACAAAGAACACCATTGCAAGACAATCACAAACAGCCCGGAGATAATAAATTAAATTAGAGTAATAAACAATCCTCTGACAACTCGGCATTCATGTTCTTTAAACTCTCTCTTTTTCTTTTAAAATTAAAATAAATTTAATTTAAATTATTCAAGAGGTGTAAAGTGTATCTATAAAATTCTTTATTTCATTGGTCAAGAAATCTCATTATATACCAGTGTATGTGTTTATATATTAATCTAATCTCAAATATTTGTGAGACTACGAATAATACAAATGAATAGAAGTGGATCGATCTAAGTTTATTTGATGGGTCCCAATTATTTTTACTCGTCCAGTTAAATAATTAATTTAAAAAAAAAAAAAATCATTGAATCACGTGGAAACAGAATTTTCTTCTTAGTTTCGTGAAAGTTAAAAGTGAAAACGTGTTGATCATATGCCTTGTAATAGTAGTGGGTACTCACAAACTCTCTCTTTATATAATTTGATTTGTTGTGTTCACACGGTGACATGTTGATTCCAAGAACCTTACACGAAACTTCCTTATCTTTCACCGTACACATGACACGCACAGGCAGAGTATTATTATATATAGAGGCATAAGAGAACCCTCTGATCATATAATTATCACACACCTCTTACAACACCCTCACTCTCACCTACCATTGCTTCCTTCTCTGCAACAAATTAAAGATGAAGAACCAAATCAAATGCTTTTCCATTTCTTGGTCTCTTCTCTTCATGCTTATTCTCTTGCATGCAACATCAACCTTCGCTCAAGAAGTTGGTAATTCCACAAACTTAATTATATAAATACATTTATATATGTGTGTGTGTATTTAGTGACATGGGTTTTTTCTTTAATGTAAATTTTGATATGTGAATTCCACATATATATATATATATATATAATGCAGAGGATGAGAGAGAGTTTGATTATGGTGAAAGGAGTGAAAAGGGTCCTCGGCGGTGGGGAGAGCTAAAGGAAGAGTGGGCTGCATGCAAGAATGGAGATATGCAGTCTCCGATTGATATGTCAAACCAGAGGGTGAAGATGATCCGAAGGTCCAGGGAGCTCAAGATGAACTACAAACCTTGTAATGCAACTGTGAAGAATAGAGGTCATGACATAATGGTAAGGAATTAATTTAACTCTTCATTATTTTATAACATAATAATTAAGTTATGATTTAGGGCTTTAATTAACACAATCACAATTATATTTATATTATATATAGGCAAAGACAGTAAAGTTATCGATGCTTTTGTTTGAGCTGATAGCTGTCAGCATGTCCTCTTGTCGCGCGCGCGCGTGTATCATTCACAAATCACTCTCCCCACCTCCCCCACCGGCAGCAATAATGGAAGGGCATGTTTGACAATTCACTAAAAAGTAGACCTCCTGAATTATGAAACTGCCTTTTACCTTTTTCTTTGAAGTGACATGAATACCGAGGAAATTATTAGATGATCTTTAAATCCGGAACTGTATAATAATTTTTAGTATTGAAATTGCTGCTTGTTGCATTTAAATATATATTATAAAAACATGGATTGGGTTGGTGTAGAACAAAAAATCATATAATTTTTATTAATACCAAAATCATACGATCGTGTGTATATATGTATGCAGCTTCAATGGGCTGGTGATACCGAAACTGAATCCGAAGCTGGATCAATTCAGATAAACGGCACTGAATACTTTCTCCGACAAGCCCATTGGCACTCACCCTCCGAGCATACCATCAATGGCAGGAGGTATATATCTCTCTACATATATACACACCCACATATACACACACACACACATATAAGCACACACTATATTTAGCTGAACAACTTCATATCTACCATGTTTGTTGATAGGTATGATGTAGAGCTGCACATGGTTCACGTAAGCCCGGACACCAACGTGAAAAATAACATAGCTGTTACCGGGCTTCTCTACAAGTTTGGTAAAGCTGATGCGTTTCTTTCTAAGGTAAAGCCTTGTTAGTGTGTGTAATTAATAATTATGATCATTTGGACTTCTTAGATATTAGTCAAATTAGTCACAGCTTGTATATGTTTTGACATGTGAAAAAGGTTACAAACTTTGTGTGCGTGGATCTCAACAATATTGCCATTTTACCTAACCTTGTCATATCATCACCTAGACCAAATTTTAGAAACTACGGTCATTTTTGAAACAATGTTTAAAACTTTGAAATTAGTACAACACAATTGACAAATTATTTTCAAATTAACTTAAGCATGATCGATTCTAATTTTAGATAGGGTCACAAATGAAAGTATAAGAGAAAAATTAGACATGACACCCATTAGTGAGAAAATAATTAAAAAAATAGCATACTTAGATGATTCAGGTGCATATACACGAGACTTAAAGAAAGAATGAGTGGTTTTATTATATCTATTTTTTCTTCTAATTTTCTTTTTATTATTTTTTTATTTCAGTTGACTGGCAATATGGCATCCATGATTGATAGAATGGAAGAGAGAAACGCGGGAGTGATGGATCCGAGAGAGATAAAGACGGGTGGTAAAAATTATTACAGATATATGGGTTCACTCACTGTTCCTCCATGCACAGAAGGTGTTATTTGGACAATGAATAAGAAGGTAAGAGCCTCATGATCAACCTCAACTCTCTCTAACCACTACTTTTATGCTTCATTTTATGGACAATTATGAGTTCTTTAACCTAAATTTGAACCACCTTCAGGTGAGGACTGTTTCAAGAGAGCAAGTTAAGTTGCTTCGACACGCTGTTCACGACGTAAGTAGCTAAACTTCGTATGTAAATTTTTTATCATTGTTTCAAAAGTTGGATTTCAAGCATAACATAACATTTGTATAATTGGTTTTCATTGCAGTATGCAGAGAAGAATGCGAGACCATTGCAGCCACTGAACAGTCGAGATGTCCATCTTTACAAACCCTAGTTTAGCCCAGGAATAACAGTAATTGGTGATAATTAGAGAGAGAGAGAGATGAACTATAGTTACTATTAGTTAGCCTTATAGTTCCATTTTTTTCCCCTTTTGCTAGAGTAGATTGTTCATTCTGAACACCATGATGTGATATTTTTATTGTTCTTCATCATCATATACATGGAGATACCATGTTTTTTGCGTTATATAATCAGCTATATTCATCCAATTTGTGGGATTTTCAATATTCACCCTGTATTTACTGTGACAAGTCCTGCATTACTTGTAAGAATTTCTCATCCATAGATCACTCAAGAAAGAATTCATGAAAGAAGTTAGGCCAATAGCGACCCCAAGAAATAAATAAATAAAAAATGACTGGAGCTTGCAAAATTTGAAGTAAATGAAAATAATGTATGAAGAAGTAGGATTTTCTTTTTGTAAAATGAACGCAGCAGAGGAGAGAGAGAGATCTCCAAGTTAAGGCATTATCAATGTCCTTTTCCTTAGACCATTGATATTTTCTAAACAAAACTGTAACGGCAAATGACGCGAAACCAAAATGCGAATGCGCCACAAGTGGTTAAAGCCTTGGGATGAAGTACAGTGAAGGACTTTACTATGCCAAAAATAAGATATTACAAGTTTCAATATTACAAGTTTCAACTCCCAAACCCTTGTTCTATCAAACCATACCACAAATCCTTTTTAATACCCTTATAGACTCTGTTACAAGAGTAGCCCTGGTCCTCAACCCGCAAGAGAGCGGGTTCTTTCGGGTCATAACCGGGTCAATGCCGAAACAAAATTCGAGCCACAACCTCAAGCTGTTTCAAGGACAATATCCCCAAAACTAACAGTCCGTCAACCTGGAGAACAAGCTACACTAGTGCTGTGCAGCCTGTGCATTGTTCATGGTTGAATTTGTCTCCTGGATAACCTAAATTTGTTTCAAGAAAACCATGAAGCCAAACATCAAAATCTGTCTCAAGACCATCAAAAAGTGACACATTTCTGAGGAAAAACAAATTTCCAATTTCATACCAATCAATCTAAGCATAGTACAGTGGACTTGTGTTCTTCCAGACAATAATTAGCCTAGCTTGTATCTAGTAGTAATGGGAATACAGATGAGAGCCCAAGAATGAGTAATCAAGTGAGATTCCTAACGCAATCAGAACAGAATGAAGGAATGGATCTTCCATCCCTTCCTGCTCCTTGTGCCAATAAAATTCCCCGCTTGGTAATGCACTACTGCTTGTCAAAAACAAGCTACCGCGAATTAGAAAGTCTTTCGGAAGTATTGGGAAAGAACCCAATCATCTCACCATCTGTGTGATTCCCGATGAGCATGAGGCAGGTCCACCTTGTGTCTGCCTCGTATTGTAGGAGTTGCATTTTAGGCACTTGTGTGCCACAATGTGAAAATTTACCTCAGATGTTTCCCCACAGTCATTACAGAGGATCCAAACCTATTTAAAACCAAAATGTAAATATTTTAGAAAATGTCACCTAGATTTAGTTAGCTAAGTATTACCACTTTATCATTCTTCCTTACCATCTTATTTTGGTATATTTGAGGCATGGTTGTTGAAGCAACCTGAATTCAGATTCACAAAAAAGATTAGTTAGGATAAAACAGGGGTTTCTTCAGGGTAGGATCACAACAGATCTCCTTATAATTGAGTTATATTACTGTATAATCTTTATACCTCCTGATCAAGGCTTTGCCACACACGGGACATATCACAGTACGATTTTGAGCAAACAGGGCATGAATACCTGCACCCTCAAAAAGTTAACATAAAAGCATATAGCCCAAGAACTAACAAAAAAGAACAAACAAGAGATTTCTGATATGAAATATATAATACAGTAATAAAATAAATGAGAAATCTAATATAACGGCTTATTATAGACGACCGACTTACTGGAAATGTTGCTCCATCTGCTTAACACATTCCAAATGAATAGTGTGCCCACATGGCAAGACAGTAATGTCCCTGGTTGTATCAAAAATATACTGCACAAAGATATTGAAAATCTCAGCAAAGAAGAAAAATAGGATTTCCCATATATATTCTCATATTCTTTCAGTCAGGTTTACCTCAAAACAAACAGGGCAGTTATGATGCATAGCTCTTTCCACGCAAATGTGTGAATCCTTCAACAACCTTGAATAGCAGCATCCTGAAACAGAAATCACAGGTCTCACACAGTTCAACATAATTATTAAGATCCCAGTGCATGAGGCTTCTGCCAATGCGAGGTCTGAGAAAGGTTAGATGCATGCAGCCTTAAACCCCACATGCGGAGAGGCTGTTTTTGTGACTCAAACACATGACCTCCAGGTCACAATAGAGCAACCTTACCGCTGCACTAAGGCTCACCCTCATCTCACACAGTTCAACTACTGAATGAAAAAATCACGGAAAGGAGCTCTCTTATATTGAATTTAGAAGTTCATATTGTTACTTACCGCATCTATTACAATGAAAAAAATTGTCTTCCCCTCCAGTTCTGCCATATGGAAAAACAGTGCAAAATGTTTACATAGAATGATATTACATGAAGAATATAGGATTACTAAAAATCATAATGATTTAAATCATTTAGTATGGTTTGGCTCTATCACGAAAGACGAATAATTGAACTCATAAGGAGGAAAAGTATGACTTAAGTCCAAAAATTAAGGTTGAAAAGGGTATGTGTTACAATGGTAGACTTGTCCTACATCGAATCCAAATTGGAAGTGACATGAGTATAAATGGGTGGGTATGCAGCACTACCCAACAGCTTAAGTTTTTGAGTAAATGGGCAAGCGCCCACCTATTACAGTTAATATCATAGCCAAACCCAGTCCTTGATCTGGTATCACGCCAAGCGCCCGGCCCGGGGGCATCCGGGTCTTCATCCCAAGTAGGCAGGGTGGTCCGACCGCAACGAGGGCGTTGCGTGGGTTTGGGTTGGAGAGAATGTTACTAGGGGAGACTTGTCCCACATCGGATCCGGATGGGAAGTAACATGGGTATAAATGGGTGGGTATGCATCACTACCCAACAGCTTGAACTTTTGGGTAAATAAGCAAGCGCCCACCCATTACAATAGGACAGAAAGAATGTTTCTCAAGCCTAGCAATGCCACCCGTTACAGTAGGACAAAAATAATGTTTCTCAAGCCTAGCAATGCCAAAGATAAAGTTATGATTCTAGTGCATGGTTAATCATAGAAACAGTAACAGAGATGGGAAGAAAAGAAAGTTATGATTCTAGTGCATGGTTAATCATAGAAACAGTAACAGAGATGGGAAGAAAAGAAATAATATAGAAAAGAATTTAACCTGCAAATTCCACATTTATCACAGTGATATTGCTTCTTTGAAACCTATAATAGAAATCATCTTGCTGTTTAAGTAAGTATATAACAACCGCACATGAATTCTCATCAAGGAATATTATCAAAAAGGCTTACATCGTCATCAAAGAACTTGCATTTCGAACAATAATACTTCCCCATGCAAACCCCACAACAAATACACTTTTGTCGAACCTGAAGGAAATCAAAGAAAAAGTAAAACCCAGTCATAAACATTGATCTTATCAACCCAACTAAGCCAAGTTAAAGCAAAACCTATACTTAATTTATGGTCAATTACTGAGGTTTGCCCTTATTACAGGTGGATGAAAGTTGGTTAAAGGAAGTAACGCTTACATCCCGTTAGCTTTCCGTCACTAACAGTTAAAAAAAAAAAAAAAAAAAGCGTGAAAGGTCATATTTACCCCTTTTTTTAATACTTCTATAAGAAAAATTTTAAACGGTGAAATGACCAACGCCCAACAATCATTAACCCCACTGAAATTCTCTCTCGCCTCACCCTCTCATTCTCCTTTCCATTGTCTTTCCCTGATTCCCATCAAACCGAAAATCTCTATCACCATCACTCTTCATTGGATCTTGTGCTAAAGCCATTAATGGGGGTGCATTGTGAGTTAGGAAGCACAGACACTTCTACGAAAGAGCCGTACCCGTATCGTACCAATGTCGGACATCGAGACTCCTCGGACACGTGTCCGACACTTTATATACGTATCCATAAATAAAAATTAATTTTATTATTTCGGACACTTCCTGGACACTTTACCGATACTTCCCGGACACTTCGCCGACACTTCTCGGACATTTCTAACACAAGTTTACCCAGTAATCTTGAAAATAATATGAATACTATCATGACAAAGTAGTAAAATAATAGTGTATATGATATAAAAATTATTACAATAATAATATAATTTCATTTTCTAATTTATTTCAGAGTAACTCTTACTGAATAGATGTTTAATAATTAAAAAAAAATTTATATTATTATGTAGTAGTGTCCACGTCGTACCCGTGTCCTACTTTTTAAAAATTTGACGTGTCAACATATCCGTGTCGAATCGTGTCAGTTTCCCATGTCCGTGTCCGTGCTACATAGATTGTGAGAATTCCCCAATAAGTAACTACAATACCCATGAAACTTAACTAAAATAGTATCAAAAATTTAATTACAAAAGGAATTTGTAAACCGGATGGATTAGTGTTTTGGGTACATAGAAATCCTTTAAAGCTAGATCAGGTTGTGTAAAAAGCACTACTTGTTTTCTTCCCACCAAATTCCCTTGTAATATATATATATATATATATATATATTGTCTCATTATACATATATATACACACGCACACACCTAGAGATAGATACAAATACACTACCCCATATTCATCAAAATCTTGATCATCAAAATTCGTCGTCACCGCCAATGCAACGAGCACAAAGACGGGTGAGTTCCCGAGGTTCACCAGGATGCCAAATTGGAAGAGGCAAGGTCGGAGACAATGTTAGTGACACCCCAACCATGCCTCCTTGAGAGTTGTCACCGGCGTCGTTGTGAGACCCATCTCTTTTCCCCCACAATACCTCTCGATCCCTCTCTATAGAACCATCTCTAAGATCCACTTGTGTTGCCTTTTGGGTAGTTTGAGAATTTTGGTAATTTAACGAGTAAAAAAAAGTGCCATTTCACAAGTTCAAGAGTATTTCGGTCATTTTAGCATCAAAGAGCTGACACAATCAGTAGACGGCAGTGGGTGTTACCGTGTTAGTGTAAAACGGAGCAAATCTCAAGGGGCTCATGGTGTCCCACAGGCGACAAGTTGTATCTAGGTGTAATAAAGACAAACCTCATAGGGTGTTAGTGTAATTTATTATTAATTTTAATATTGGTAGTTCTTCTATATGAGTTTCTAATGAGTAGACTCACATCTTGTTCTGTGTTACACAACGAGCAGATGACCTGAAAGACAAGTATAAACACAGATAATACTGGAACAGTATAACATTCTATGTTGCAGTAGTTAAAGAGGACTATATATATATATATATAAATGAAGTATGAAAGGTATTTCTTAAAAAAGAAAAAGAAAAAAAAAAAAGAAAAGTATGTCTAAAAAGCCAATAGAAAAACAAAAAAGAGATAAAGTAAATATAAAAAAGAGAAAAGGAGGATGAAGTAAATGCAGAAAAGAGAAAAGGAATGGGCTTGTTTGGTTCAATTTTGTAAAATTAGCTTTCAACAACTCAGAAAACATAAAACAGTTGTGGAAAGAAGATTTTTTTATCCTACTATTCAAAAAATAGTTTTGAACTCTCACTTCTCATAAAACTGAAAACTGGTCTCAGTGGTACAACTAAAATAAACTGGCCCAACATTTCTCAAGTGTAGTATCTGTTTTTATAAACTGAAAATTGTTCTCAGTGAGACAACGAAACTAAACAGGCCCAACATTTCTCAAGTGTTGTATCTGTTGTTACAAGACTTACCCAAATAAAAAATAAAATAAAATAAAAGGGAGAGAGAGAGGGAGAGAGAGAGAAATGGAAAGAAACTTTAGATATTAGCTAATCCTTATCCATGGAAGGTTGCATCTTGTGATGGAACCCATGACTTGTCCACACACCAAACAACATTTGAGAACATAAAAGTTATATAACACAGAGTCCCATGTGACCCCCAATGGAGTCCCAATCAGTCCACCCTCCCCCCCAAAAAAAAAAAAAATCTCATTCTCAAACTAGAGAGAGAAGGGAGTGTTTCACTTTTTCTCCTCCTCCTCTCTCTCTGTTTTTCTTCAATTTTCAACAAGTTAAAAGGAGAAAAGGAAGAACAGAAAACCTTTTAGTTAAAATGCCTTCAGAAAACAAAATTTGTTTTGAAAACAAACGAACAAAAAAATAAATAAATAAAACGTAGAGCGTACAAAGAAATTCATTTTTATCTAATAGAATTATGATTGAAACCACAGAGAGAGAGAGAGAGAGAAACAAAACTAACCCTTTTCAATTCATGACGAGGAATGTCATGCCTACTGAGGGGATCAACTTCTAGTGAATTCTGTTAAGAAAAAATTAAGATTAATTACAAAAATAATAATAATAATAATTTAAAAATAATTAAAAAAAATTTTATAAAAAACCAACCTTTGATTCGTTGTGGCAATGCCTGCAGTCGAATATCTCATCACAACAAGGGGCTATAATCTTGCACCTCCTTCTGTAATGTGAACACCTGAAAAATTATTTGTTTACAAAAATAACCAATTATTATTACTAGCAAAATACACGAAATTTTTTTTTAAAAAAATTACAGACAAAAAAGAGAAAAATAAAAAGAAAATTGGAGGAATTAGGAAAAATACCCAAAATGCCCAGATCCCATTTCCATGAGAGACACATCTTCTGATCCATGAGAAGTCATCTGGCTCTTGAAACCGCTCTCCATTCCCTTCTGATTGCTGATATAAATATATACCTTCTTTTAGTAACCTCAAATATTACCTGAAACCCACAACATGAAAATCAATCAATTCCAAAAAAAAAAAAAAAAAAAAAAAAAAATCAAATTTGCAGATACAGCACACATAAATACATATATTTTGACATATACACGTGTGTAAAAATAGAATTTGAAAAAAAATGAAATCGAAAATAAAAAGTGTACCCTTTAAACAGGGTAAGATTGGGGTTTGACTCTGCGATAAACAAGCCTGAGATACAGAAGCATTGGGGGTACACTTATTTGACGAAGGAGGCGAGCCCTCCATTGATAAAAGAGCAAAGTTCGTCAATAATACAAAGTTCTGTAAATACCAAATAGACCCCCATTTTCTTACTCTCTCATTCACTCATCACCCTCGTTTTTTGTGCACATGACGAGGCGACACGCCAGCGTTGGCCGACCAAGCCTATAATTTAATACATTCGATACGTGAGAGAGAGATTATCAGATAAACGGCGTCGTATCGTTGTTTAACCAAAGCAATTAAAAAACAAAAAAAGAAAAAAAAGAAGCTAACTTGAGAAGCGCAACCTACCAAGGCGATTTTAACGGTCACGAAAACCGATGCTTTCTTCTTTATCGTTAGACACTGCACCTTATCTTATTATACTCACAGTATCGATATATTTGTTTATGTGTGTGCGTGTTCTGCATAGGAGTATATATATATATATATATATATTTCATGTGCGTTTTATATAATCATATATTGAGCTGAGTAAGAACTGAGAATAGTCACTCGATCACAAGCTTTTTTCGGTTTTTATGACTCCGGGTCGGTGGGTGGCGGCAAAAACGGCGTTAATAAGACGGTCAGAGATTGATATTGCTATTAAGTACGTAACAAATGGAAGACTACTCAAAATAGTTCTGGTAATTAGACAAAAAGCAAAGGGGTACTTTTGGAGAAAATGAAAGTGACTGTTTTGGACGGAACAGAGAATCTGTGGGTGGCATTGTATGGATTTGTGTGGGAGGAGGATTCAGAATAGGACTCGGGAGAAAATGTATGTACAGGTTCATCGGATTTTTATTCATTGGGTCCCACCATGTGGGAGAGCCAATCAGCAGCCAACACCGAGTAGCCGTGTAGATATAGAACTCTAAATTATGTGCTTTTTTTTGGTTTGGATATAAAAAATAAAAAATTAGACTTTTTTATTGGTTTAATCCTAAAAAAATATTCCGTATAAATTTATCTATTTGGTTTCAATAGAGCTTTTTAGGACGATAATTTTCAAATTTTTATATTTAATTATTAAATTAAATTAGATTTTTTTAAATAAGTGTAACAATGAGAGAGCTCTCCTAATAATATTACCATTTAAGATTAATGGTTCAATTTTGATTTATGAATATTAAATAAAATTTAATAGGATCAACAAGATTCGCAATTTAAATGTTTGATTTGGTTCTTGGTCGATTTTGGTTCCATAAATGTTGAGTAATGCAACTCACGCCCATAAATTCATATATATTGATTTATTGATATTTGAGTCCACAAATTTGGTCAATTACTTAAAAACAAATTTTGTCAATAACTTAAATAATGCCAATACCACCATAAATTTTCATGTGAGTCTCATTTGAGGTGGATCTGATTATAATTTAATACTCTATTGTATCTCAAATTAAATGTTTACTTTTTTATTTTTAGCTATTCAAAATGAATTTTTATTTGAAAAGTCAAAGTATAATTTTTTATAATATTATTGATTTAAATTTCTTGAATTGAATTTATAAAAGGTAAAACATCACATTATGTGAACCCACTATAAATATATTTGGTAATTCATTCACCACCAATATAATAAAAAAAATATTAAAAATTAATTATGTTTTTCACTTTGGAAATAATTTTCTTATTTATTATAAATTGACAAATAGATGCCTCCCTATTTTATGGTCAAAATAATCTGGGAGTGCAATTTAAGGAATATGATTCATGTATGCATTAAAAGTTGGATTTGGCCTCACTGTAATTTAAAAAAATGAACCATAATTTGAATTTACAATTTTTTTTTTTTTTTTTGGGCACCAAACAAGAGAGAAAGGAATACAATCAAGAGATAAAGCATCTAAAAACCACTTGGGCCAGACACTCCATTCAAGATCACCACATTTGGCCACCAAGGCTTGGGATGGCAACGGGGTGGGTTTGGAACGGGTTTCCCTAAATCTCGTCCCATCCAGTTTAATTTTTGGCAAGTCCATGCCCACCCCGTGCCTCGAGACGGGTTGGATTTTCATATCCATCCCCGCCCCATTAAGAAATATTGTGCCCCATGCTTGCCCCCCTATCACAATTTTCTTGGCTCATAAATTGATCCGGTGTCCCCATCTATCTTCCACAATTTTCTTGGTTGAATAGCCTTGTCACACCCCAAGATCTAAATCCCAGATTGTGAACACATTAAACTAATAACCCCATCCAAAATACTAACCTCCCCGTAACCTGTCTCACATACACAACATTCACCTATTCATTCCCATTACAGTCCCATATAAGAAAATAAACAAGTAAAATACATCATTTATAATTGTAAAATCTCAGAGTCTGTAATAGAGTTTATTACACAGCAGGGATGTACTGAACTAACTATATACAACATAGTGCCTCATTATTATACATTATCTGTTATACCAAAAAAAAACACCACAACCACAAGTCCCGACTCTGTCTACAGCTGAGGAGGAACGTCCTCTATAACATCCTTGTCATGCCCTGAAAAGATATGTATAAAATAGGAATGAGCAATCACAGCTCAGTAGGAGTTACCTAAAGTGCACTCCTTAATACCCCCGTGAATCCCAACAAAGAATATGAGATAAGGGGGTCATACAGGCTCAGGAAAATAATATCATGTAAGATAATGAAAATGAAATGCAGTGCAATGCTAATGCCAATGCCACCTACACTTCCCACTTCCCGAACCTCAACCAACCACACTTATCTTAACAGTTAATGTATCCGGCCTAGGGTAATCCTTAGCACCACGAGAAGAAAATTGATCATCTGTATCTAACCCAGGGTAATCCCCAGCGCCATTTGGGCCTAGTGACTCAACCACATGCAGAGTATATCTCTACATCCTTTCTAGATCCAATAACGACACGGACACGAGGTAATCCCCGTCATCCGGCATCTAAGACCTTTTTTCTTATTTTATTTTCAAAAGCCATTTAGCCACATTTCCAACTTCTCATTTCATCCCAAATTCATCCCCAATTAATGCAAGATGAATGTATGTTTTCAATAGTACAATATAACAACACTTCAGTCTTAACATTCAACTTCAGCTCATGCATAGTTAGTATTATCAAATTCCGTTTTCTACAAATCATAGCATTTTCATATTTTAAAACACAAGTCTATAAACTAATCATTAACAAAAATTCAATATGGCAGCACACTTTATCATGATATAATATTACAACATTTTAGAATTTTCAATTAAACATGTTGTTATTTAACCCACACAATCATACAAGACATTTTAGGCACCTAACTTATTGTAATTTCAAGAAAAATCATATAATTTCAAATAGGCTAATGTGCACGAAAATTTTCAATTTGAACACATTATAATATAACCAAAAATTTCAGTTTTTAAACTACACATACCATGCTTGAAAGAAAGACACAATTTTACTCAATTTAGAGGTTCAACAGCCAATAAACAGCCTCTAAAACAGCCCCAAACACAGCCTAAAAAACAGCCACAATACAGCCCTTTTTTAAAACTCAGCAGTGAAGAGATAATTCCAAACTTAATATCAAAAGAACGAATATGACTAGAGGAACATTTTTCATTCACACACCCACACCAAAATCTCATCAAAAGTTCATCAATTTCAAGCCTAAAAGAATGACTATGGATGAGGGATAAGGGCACGAAAATTGTTCTGCAGATTGTTTTGTATCTATCTCCTCTCAATGCACTACACCAGTCATCACACACACACACATATTATACAGCCAAGTGCCCTTCCACATGTCAAGCATGCACTAAGTCAAAGGTGTGACCATAGCAATGACTCAATTGTCCCTCCAACTTTTCCAAAATCACTAAAATACTTTAGTAACAACAATTTCCTATACTACCCATCATGAAACATAAAAATGACATTAAAATAAATAAATAAATAAACAAATCATCACAAGCCCGAACAGAAAAAGACAAAGAATAGATCAATCCATCTGCCTCGATCTGCCTAAGAAGAATAGATCAAATAAATTATAAAATAAGAGATATTATATATATATATATATATATATATATGTAAGTATAAAAAAAAAAGGAGAAGAAGAACTAAAGAAGAATAGATCTACCTGCGTAAGTGTGTGCATCTACCTGAGAAAGAGAAACAGAGACTGGTGAGGGAGAGAGGGATTGAGGTTAAGGATTTAGTTTTTGACTTTTGACTCTCTTTGTCTTCCCTTAATACGCCGCTCAGTTCACACATAAGGCTTAAGAAATTAGAGTTGTAAGAAATTGGTAATTGGGTAAGCCGGTAAAATAAGTTATTAATATTATATATATGTGTGTCTATATATATATATATATATAGTTATATAGTTATATGTTTAACGGGGCATGCGGGGCGGGGCAGGGCCCCAGGCGGATATATACAGGAACCCTTACCCGTCCCGTGACTCGCGACGAGTACAAAATTTATATTCATACCCGCCCCAACAGTATAAAAGTTATTAACATATCCGTTATTAATGGGGTGGGACGGGATGGTAAAAATTAACACCCCTAACCAAAGCCATCCTGCTCACCAAATGAGCTACACAATTTCCACCCTTAGGCATGCTAAGGAGGACCCCTTAGCAGACATTAATCAAACTAGAAACATCATTAAACGCAACAGATAAAGCCTCCACCAAAGGCTTAAACATCATCACTGGTTGACAATCCCCTTCAATAATCACATTGTGATAGCCCCAGAGGTGGAGCAGCGAAAGGCATTCCCAAAGAACTAGGCCTTCGACCAGAGATGGACCCCCAACATTTGAAAGAAACACCAAGGCCACTTTTATAGGCTGACCAAGATGATTTCTAAAAACCATACCTCCACCACAAAATTTTCCAGAATGATTGAAGGCCGCATCAAAATTAAGCTTGAGAAATCCCATTGGAGGAGCACTCCACCTCACAAGAGGTTGGACTGAAGAAGGAGAGGGAGATAGGAAAGAAAGTAACTCGGACTGCCTAAGGATCTCCAGAAATTCAACAAAATCCTTAAGAGCTTTTTGAGCCGCCGCAAAAGGGTCCCATCTACGTTGTTTATGGATAAGATCATTTCTGCGCTTCCAAATGGTCTAGCAAATAAAGGCAGCGAGGCTAAGACACTACGCTGGGCAATCAGACCTATTCCGGTATCCAATTCAATGCAGTTTATATGGGCTTGCAAAGAATGTATTGACTTGGCCCAATGCATCCGTTGAAAGAATTCTTGCTAAGTGTTTTGCTAAAACTTACAATAATAACAAGCAAATATATAAGTAATGGTGTTTGTGGATGGTTTCTAAAAATTGAAAAGTTGAATATACTTATGTTGTGTTTGAGAGCGCAGATTTGCCTTCTTTCGATTATAAATTTATGGTGTTGATTCGTGCTCTTAAATATAACATTAATTATATGTACATTTAACATGAATATTGTACTTGATGCATTCTGTTTTATATATAGTCGGACTACTCAAAGGGTCTTGTTATGGCGTCATGTATAACATATGTGAATATAGTCGGACTACTCAAAGGGTCTTGTTATGGCATCACGTATAACATTAGTGAATGTAGTCTGACACGGAAAAATATTCCACTTTGAAACTTCAACAATTCAGGTTCCGTTTGTTTCATCGTAAATTATTTTTCATGTAAATCATTTTACTCCCAAATGACTGAAATGGTTTTCGTAAGTACGTCATTTTTCACACATTACCTTGGGTCATCTAACCATCTGTATTTTTATTGAACCCATATATCTTTCTAACAACTAATCTTTTTCAGTCTTCCCAATTTAAAAATCTAATCTTCAGTCTTCTCTCTTTATATGTACACATAAAGTGAGAGGAGAGAGAAAGAGGAACATAAATTTGGGTTAGTCGAGGAACAGATTTGAGTCGAAAGCATGTTATGGTATATAGAGAGAGTAGAGAGAGAATGTAACGTGGAGAGGGAGGGATGGTTTAGTGCAGAGAAAGAGAGAAAGTAATAAGGAGAGCGTGGGAATGGTTTAAGGGGTACTATTTCCTGTTTGTGTGAGAGAGAGTTAATTGTGAGTACTATTTCCTGTTGGTGAGGAATAGTGAGAGTTAATTGTGAGTACTATTTTTTGTTAGTGAGGACAATTGTGCACAAAAGTTGATTTAGAAAATATTTTACGGACAACTAACAAACACAAAAAATAAAAAAATAAAAATATATATTTTATATAAAATTATATATTTTACATCTAAAAAAACAAACCTAAATTCCGATGTTATACCTAGATATTACAACGAAAATAATAAATAGTATGAATGAGACTAATTGGCACTCTCACCGCGAGGTCCACGCCCCTTTGTGAGGGTGCATAATACTCGGATTCAGACTGCATATTAGCACTATAATTATACTTTTATAGTTTGGTGTATCTATGTGTAAAATTTATATATTTAAAGTGCGATAGATATGCAATGGGACCGATTTATTTTGTTGTAATATAATGAATGATGAATAGAAGCCCACGGTATGAAGCCTGGATTTGCTAGGTGAAAGCAAGACATTAGTTAATGGATAGTGTCACTTTGTTGAATTAATCCTTGTAATCATCGTTTTGAAACAAGTTGATCGAGATGATGATAGTACAGCTTTATTAACAGGAAAAAATGGGGTGGACCTTAATTTATATTTAAATCAATGCCAGAGACATCTCTCATTTGATTAATATCACAATAACACTCTGTTCCAGTGCATGAGTGACCACAACAATTACTATTTTATTGTGTTTCTTTGTTGGTTCAGGCAAGTTTTTAGCCCTTCTGTTGTAATGTTTAGAATTTAGATATAAGAAATTAATTTATATTCAACTAATGATGAAGTTTGATTTATTTGATTAAATAATTGGAGACCATGTATAAGTACAATGTATAGAGTCAAACCCCGATCGGCTGTTTGTACTGTCTTTATCTGGTGTTTGTCTAGAATTTTGTCTTCCAAAAAGGGCAGTTATGTAATGTACTACATGCCAACAATTAATTATGATTATTGTTAGTGTAAAAAATAAATAAATTAACTCCTATATAAAAAATGTGCAAAAAAATACTCTCGTTATTTAGTATCTTCATATAAATCTCTAACATTTGAAAATATGTCTGAATTACTCCATAATCTTTGTTAACAGTCAATTGATTCAAAAGATTTTATAAAATTTTCAAAATACCCTTAATATACATTTTAAATTTTAAATTTTAAATTAGTATTTTTTTATTTTTATATTGCATTTAAGGCATTTTAAATATTTCAGTCTTATTTGCTCAATTTGAAAAACATAAGGATTTCATAACAAAAACTGATCAATAAAGTACATGGCTAGAAAGGTAGGGCATATTATGTACAATATAAGGATTTTTTAGACACCATATAAGTATTTGCACATTTTGTATGTGACATAGATTTTTTTACAATTTACCCTTATTATTATTATTATTTTTTATTCTTAATTTGACAACAACTCACACAATCACTTTGTTTTTATTAGGACTTGAGCCCCTTCGGTTTTGGATGGTGAAAATATACTATGGTACTAAATTACACATCAATAATTAAATTATAGAATTTTTTTATAGTTTAGGAAACTCCTTGAATTTCAGTTGTTCATTTACAAATGTGGGAGAACTGAAAGGAGTGATTTTTGTGGTATAATAATGTTGGTGTTGTGTGTGTTTGTATCGTTTAGAGTTGGAGATGTATGGAGTCTATGGACCATGGAAGGAAGAGTAGAAGAAGAAACAACTAAAATAAGAAGCAATGCGAAGTATTCAAAATAATGCAACCAATTTTGGAAAAACCAAAGGATGCTTTACTTGGCTTACACACTCGATCTATATATATATATATATATGCCACCTATATATATTAATATATAAATGATGGTGGCATCAACCAGTACGTTACGTGTCCTTCACAATTAGACTAAACCGTAACGGCATGATCTCGAATCGCTTTTATTCTTGACCTCCCATACTTCCTCCTCCATTCACTTCACATGAAGAAGTTGATTTATGTTACAACTTGCAATTCACAAAAGTCTCATATATATATATATGGGTGGATTAGTCACATTGCAAGATAAAAAATTTCAACACAAAACCTTAGCTCCATACTTTCCATTGCGAGAGTGTCCATTGCGAAATGGTGTCTGAAATAGTTTGCATGGTTAGTCTCCATCTTGGTGACTGTTCTAACTACCATGCATGTGATCGAAGTTGTGAACAAAGCTTAGATTGTAGTATATATGTACCATCACAGAGAAGCATCTTTGAATTTTGCATCCCATATATACGCCAATCATATACCGTATGGTACATGATAACATGTGCGAAGCATAATATACATACACACACACACACACACACACACAGCATATATTAAAAATGAATATAATTAAAGAGTCAACTTCAGGATGCCCCCAATTAGATGATACCATAACAGTAACAAACTAAGTGGACTTAGCTTTCTCCTTCAATTTGTTTTTACTGATTCTAGTAGGAAAAAGTTAAAAAGGTGTTATAGTTTTCTCCATTTTAATCCTGTATATAACTAATAAATATAGAGACACATACCTGATATCGAAATTCATTTACAACTGAATGATATTCTACTCAAACTTCATAATTTATCTTTAATTGGATTAGATTTACACTAATTTCTGTGATTTTATTTTAAGATATTGATTATTTTAAGATATTTTAATAAAGCATGCGATAACCATCATCATTGATGACTTAGATTATTTGATTTAATTTGCTGAAGTTTTAACCTGTTATATATGTTTGAAAGTATCCGCATTGACGACTTAGATTATTTGAAATTAGAAGGACGTGCTTCTTAACACAAAATTAATATATTTAGAATTAATAACTTTATTAAGCGTTAAATTAGATTATTAAACAATATTAATATATAAGTGTGTGTATATATATAGGAATATATGTGTGTGTGTATATATATATATATTCAATTGCGAAAAGGTTGTGAGGCGGAAGTCCCACCGCATATACATGTTATGACAGTGACATTCCCATTAAACCTATGTTGAAGTTTAAAGATTTGCCAACTACTTAACAAAGCACACGTATTACTTACAAAGTGCGGATATAAAGAAGCCGATGCAAGTCACTTCGTGTTATCCTTATCATACACCATTTGCATCTATTAATCACAATGTGTTTTTCGTTTTCTTTCTTTTTCAATTATCAACTTGAAATAGTAAATCCATTTGTACATCCGGATCCAAAATTCTATTTATAATTATGATAGTTATTGTCTCACGTACTTTTTATATAATTTTATCATAAGATTTACTCATCCAACCAATGACCAACAACATTCGTAGTTATGCAATATATTAATCTTTGCACAAGAGTGGTGGTATCTAAACAGATTCAATCAATACATGAATACTTAATTCTACTTTGAATTACAATTTAGAGTTCAAATATCGGACAATTACTGATTTATGTGAGTGAATATTGACAGTTACGATGACATCAGCTCAGATTCACTTAATCAAAATTTTAGATTGTTGGCTTCCCAATCATTACTCATCTATTTAATTTTTCAATCATCAATGACCATGACCAATTAGTCGGAATAAGATAGTTCCTTTAGTAATTTTCATTTCACCATTCAAAAAAAAAAAAAAAATTATGCATATAGCCGGCGCAAATTTTGGGTCATGGTCCGTCCAAGAAGTGATAAATAATAATATTGTATAGTTTATAATACAAAGTGGGTAGGGTCAACTGCACATGTAATTGCTTGATTAAGTGTCTAATACAAAAAAAAAAATTTGAACTAATCCAAACCATCACACTAAACAGATAAAAGCCACCTTACTTGTCGAAAAACACTCTTCACCACCACCTCCAACTCTCAATATATATATAGTTATTAGTTAATTTTATCCATAATAATGAACTGTACAAAGCAGCAAAGAAAGTAATTAATACTACTAAATAAAAAATTAGCAAGAAAGACACATTAAATAATGAAGGAAAAAAAAAAAAAAAAAAAAAGTTGGGGGATTTGCGCAAATTTCTGTGGTGACAGACGAGTTATACTTGAAGGAATCGTTGGCAAAAAAGTAATGGGTTTGCTTGCTTCAAAGCCAACCGAATCTTACTCGCTTCTTCACCTCCTCATACTTGTTCTTAAATTGCATCATCTCTCTTTCTCTCTCTAAATATATACATACACAACTGTGTATATATATATATGTTGCCTATATATATAACTTCCAAGGTTGGTAATGCAAAGAAAGATTGGTGGACATACTCGTTGTTTACTATTCACGGGTCGGCTTCTATCTACACTACATAAACCACCCCCTCTCTCTCTCTCTAACCATCCACTACCTACAATAACATCCACTCTATTACCCCTCTCTCTCTAGACTGATGATCAATATGGAAGATCAAGGAGAAGTTATGGGGTCTAAAGATTACACACAAATAATCAGAGGAAAGCGCACCAAGCGCCAGAGACAAGAGTCTCTGCTCGCGTTAACCATGGCTACTTCCAGCTCAACCAGCATCGCGGAGGAGGGTGGTGGCAGTGGCGGTGGTGGTGAAAATTCCGGGGGACTTGATATCGTCGCCACTTCTCCCACTAACTCAATTGAATTGATGGCCAAAAGTACAGAAGAAGAAGAAGAAGAAGACATGGCTAATTGTTTGATTCTTTTGGCTCAAGGCGGCGGCCAAACCCTAAAACCACCCGAGCGGGTGGCTCCAACCACCAACAAGGCGGCCGGATTGTATGTCTACGAGTGCAAGACATGTAACCGGTGCTTCCCTTCATTTCAAGCCCTCGGTGGACACAGAGCGAGCCACAAGAAGCTTAAGGCCACTCAGGTGGAGGGAAAAAAAGCCGCATGGTTACTGGGCGAGGAAGATAGATTTGAGAGCGAAACAACAACCCTTTCGCTCCAAATTTCAAATAGGGTTTTGTCGAGTAGTAACAAATCCAAGGTTCACGAGTGTTCAGTATGCGGCGCGGATTTCACTTCCGGCCAAGCTTTGGGTGGTCACATGAGGAGGCACAGATCGGTCACTATGGTTCCGGGCAGTCCTGAGTCGACTCAAGAAGCCAAAAAACCTAGAGGCATTCTGTCCCTAGACCTAAATCTTCCGGCACCGGAAGCCGAGCACCGAGAATCCAAGCTAATTCCCTTCTCCTCAAAAGGAAAAGTGATGGTCTTCTCCGCATCTTCTTTGATTGATTGCCATTACTGAACTGCAAAACCATATATTTTAATTCTTATATATATGGATTTGAAATTATCATAGCCAAGATGAATGTGTAATATTGTTTTTCGATCATTAGATTACTCATACTCATAAATATTGATTCTTTGAATTCTTTTATATATATTTGTGTATTGATCGATCATCTTAGTTGAATTCTTTGAGTGAGTGGTTAGTGTTCTTGGTGGCATTTGATTCACAAAAAGTTAGTAATGTCTTTATTTTTCCTTTGGGGTAGGTTTTGAATCCATTTTTGTTCCTTTTTGAGTGAGGTTGACGGCAGAGAGAGACAAGGGTTTGACACCATTAGGTCCATTACCACCACCGCCACAACCAAAAGTGGTGAATTAGGTTCCTTGTTTCATTCACAAGAAAGCTAAAGCTCTCTCTATCCACATATATGTCTGTTTCATTAAATGACAAATAAATTAATATATAGTGATATATGTGCTGCAAATTGCTAGCTATATAAGTCTGTAACTGCCCTTCTTCTTTGGGTCATCTGTACTACTCTTCTGTCGTGCCATTAAGTAACATATATATATATATATATATATATATATATATATATATGCCTTACTTGACACACAATCAGAAACGCGTTTGTTATACATGTATGCTTGTCTGTCACATTAATTAATTATTTTTCTCATTCAATCAAAATTCATTACGGTTATTAAACACATGGTGGATTTTGCAAACAATTTTTGGGAACATTTACTTGTTATTAGTCTACTTTATTATCGATCCATAGCTTTTAAGAAGTTAATGTGATTAAAGAGGTCAAAATAAAGTTAGCTGAAACCTCACATTATCGTATGGAGTATCGAATAGGTGCTCTAGATTTAAAATAGATAACAATTTTTTTATATATATATTTCACAATTAAATTGTTTTGGAAAAACAATTAAACAAACAGTATTATACTTGAATCGAACATGTGAATGAATATATGTAGCATTAATTCTCAGTAGCCATACCAATTTAGGAAGGTAGTACACCTCATTCCATGCATGGTCCCTCCCCTAACCAAATTACTACTAAATCAATCAAGAATCAAGGTCTCTTTTTCGTCCAACAAACCACCAAATTCATAAACTTTCTTTTTCTTTTTTTCTTTTTTTAAACTTTATGATCAATTAACCATGTATATATATATATACAAAGTGCAAAAGTTTTTAACTTTCATTGTCTGTATATAATTATGTGTGTGTCAGTGTGTGAGAAAGTGGTTCCCCTAGCTACTAGCCAATTTAACCGTATTGCTCATGCAAGTTGTCAAGGTGAAGAACATGTGACCTCATCAAAAAGTAGGAGACAGTGCCACTATTCAGAGTAAGATCAAACATGACAAGGTACTTGTACCTAGTGTTTTATTTTATTTTATTTGTCGATTTTGTACGTTCACTTTCTAAGGAAATAATTATATGGAGTATAAAAGTATTTTTTGGTATATGTATGTGTGTCAATATATACACAAGTGTATGTACGTATATATATAGATGTAGAGAGAGAGAGAGAGAGAGAGAGCGCGACACAGCAAAGTGGCAAGCTCATCGATCTAATGTTTCAGTGTATAGTAGGTGCATTAATATAGTGCATATTTGGTGGGTGTTGAGAAGCCACGCATGTGACCACTTTTCGAGACAGAGAGAGATTGTCCATTATTCATGGCTCTTAAGGAGGCATTAATTTTAATTTAATTTTATTGAAGTTACTATGCTTTTAATGCTTTGGCCCATGGACACTGGTTACTCGTCAACAACCTAAAAGAATCGGAGCACATGCACACATTGCTTATACGAATCAGTTGCTCAATCCACTAACAAATCTAAGTGTAAGAGTATTGTCAAACAATCTATTGTTGATATTGACGTTTCACTATTAATCTTAGTCTGGATTGATTTAAAGACTTTATGATTAAGTAATGATATCTGTTTTACCTTTTAAAGTAATTGATAAAAGTTAAATCCTCAAATAAATAAATTAGGTATGTGAATTATGTGTGAGCGGTTTTGCCAAAGAAAAAAAACAAACAAAATTATCTCATGTTCTACTCCCTCTCTCTGTCTCCTTCTAGACTTCCAACTTCTATTTTACCTTTATTAAAAATTTTAATTTATCACTGTTTTCTCTTCCACATTAAAATTTGACAACTTCTTTTTACCTATGTTAGAATTCCAATTGACACTAGCCATGACAGCAAAACCAAAGTATGCTCATTCATTGACAGCTCCACGTGGTTCTTCCCCAATGCCATCATTGCCATACTACCACAGCTACAATGCCACTCCACTCTCCCCATTCCAAATTCACAAAGACAGGACAAATACAATTGGAGTCCTTCTCCCTCGGGTACATTCTCAATAGCTGCAACAATGAAGCATTTCAACAACCATTTGGTTTCCCTTCCTTGGACACACCTGGTCTGGACCAAACCTTCTATTCCCAAGCATTCATTCACACTATGAGTTGCCATTACAAATTGTCTATTCTTCAAATGCGCATATGTCAAGCCCTTGTGGACATTTATTCAAGCACATTGTGCATTCCATAATTATAATTAAATACAATCACAAATGTCATTAATAAAAATAAATAAGTTAAAAAAACGAAAAATTCATAATTATACATAAATGAAAAAAGAAATTTTTTGAAAAAGAAAACAAAAATTAGAAAAGGAAAAATATATTGTATACAATTAGAAGAATTTGAAAATTTGAGGGGGCACTATTTAAAATTACCATATAAGAATATGTATATAACAAAAATATGCATCTATGTATAGTAAGTTGGAGCAAAGTGAGGGGGAGCACGTGTCCCCTCTGGGCCTTAATTGGCTCCGCCCCTGTACATACCCACAGCAATTCAATCTAAAAAATGTGTCTTGCCTCTCTGGTATACAATGTGTGGAATAAACGTAATCACAGAATTTTCAAGAAGAAATGCCTATTCGCGAACTCAGTCCTTCACCTCACTTTGGACTCTGTGAGAACACAACTTTTCACATCATCAATTCCTCCTATAACGAATGCTCGAAGAACTACTGATGAATGGGAATTGCCTGAAGCGATTTTCCGTCCCCCACCAAAACCGTCGTATCAAACATCAAGATCATGAAGGTTGGAGGCAGTGATCTCCATGATTACCGGAATGCACAATCGTAGCCTGTAACGGTCATATCCTTCATTGTTTTGATGTTCAGGTAGGGGTTTTTGTCCCTGGTTTGGTCTAGTTAGGCCTCATCTAATTGGGCCTCAAGTCTAATAGTTATAGCCTTCGGCTAACATAGTGTATTGGGCCTTTGTAATTTTGTCCATATATATAAATATTGAAAGTTTCACTCTCAAAAGAAAAAGAAAAATGTTAGGATTCCAATTTATCAATGTTTTCTCTCAAAGATTAAAATTTGACATCAAAGCTAAGCTTGAGATTTTCATTTTGAAATTTAAGTGTTTGTTGTGATGATAAAAGTGTAATTTATTTTAAGGTAATGATACTTGCACGGATTTGTTGTAGTGAATTATCTAAGTGAATGTTTCTAATTTGTTATTTATGCACAATACATGTAAGTGGAGGGCCCACTCCTTTATAATTACTCTAGTAAAAAATCACCTTATCTGCCAACTGAACTGTTATACCATTTTGCCTAACAATTCGGTGCATGATTTCAGTATAAATATCATTTCCCTTTATTTTCTGTACACATATTCAGTAGGTTTTTATCTATTTATATGATAATTTACAAATTTAAAAAGGATTAGAGGCAGTCTAAGTTTTTTTTTGTTTCCACCTAATTGTATCTATTATTCTCAACATAGCATCTCAATGGATAGAATATAGTCTAAAATAAAATGGATAGATTGATTCAGCAAAAAGAAACAAATTAATATTTTCAAAACCAACTTAAAAAAATATATTCAGAAGAAGAAAGTAGAACCAAAAATAAATAATAATAATAATAATAATAAATTACCATTAGATTTTGGTAGAGAAAGAAAGGGAGGCGGACGTGAAAGAGAAGTTGAAGGAATTTTCATTTTTAGCACCAAGAATCTTAACGTTAACCCGGAAGGACAATTGTGGTGTAAAAAATTATAAGACTAAAGTATTGTATAGTGTAGGGATTTTTTTATAATTTTTTTTTTGAAGATATATATATATATATAGAGAGAGAGAGAGAGAGAGAGAGGGTGGAGCGCCTTAGGTTACTATGGGAAGACATTCACTATTCCAAAACATGGGTTGAGGTTCAAGCAGCACACTCATAAATTTTAATATTATTTATATATATATTCTTTATTTGAAATATATTATATATAATATTCATATTAGGATAACTTTTTTCTTTTCAACTTTTTTTATTCAAATCTTAATTAATTTTATATTAACACTCTGTATAATAATTTTTTAATAATTTGTTTGTAATATTTTAGAAACTTGTGTTAAGTTTTTTTTTTTTTTTTGAAAAAAAATTTGTATTTATGGTCACTTAAAATTTTAAATTTGGAGGTTGACTATATGGATAATCCAAATTATCCTAATTTTTTCTAACTCAAAACCTAACCTAAGTTGCAAATCGGGTTTAAATATTCAAGAATGAATTGAAAAATGAATATCAAATTAAAGTTAAAATAAAGTAACATATTATATATTAAATTGACATGAGTTCGTAACCCACGCCCAAGTTACAGCCCTACTCTAATCTCACACAGTTGTAAGCCTAGTTCTCTAAATTTTTATTATTCCTCAAAAAAATTAATAGAATATCCAACCAATGAAACAAATATATTAGAATGTGTGATTCAGTGACCTTGAAATATGTCTAAAAATAACTAAATGGCTCAAAAAAAAATTCGTAAAATGTTAATGGCTTTTAAAATTAATTTCATAAAACCTCATTGTATTTTTTGTTGTTGATATTTCTAACAGGTTTTATCTTTAAAATTTAGTATAGGAGATAAGATGCCATTTTTTTATAATTAAAGGAGACTTTATGCAATTAATTTTAAATTTTTATTTAAAATTTTAGACTTTACTATGTTAAATGACTATACAACAAAAATAGTCACATGCCTCTTGCCTTCTGTGACTTCACTTTCTGTTTCTGGTTTTAGGGATAGAGAATGGCAGTGCCAAGGCGGCGAAATGGTCTGATCGACGAAGACGAAGACGCTCTATTCGAAGAGGAAGGCGGCGATTTGGTGCTCGAACCCGATTCTGACACACCTCCCCATCTCCGCGACCTCGCCACCGCCGCCGAGCTCGGCGACGTCAACGCCCTTCGCCATGCCCTAGGTATATGGCTGATCACCTTTAATTGTTCTACTCTATCTCGTCCTCGATTCACGACTCATTTTGCTATTCTATCAACTGTTTTGAGTGCCTTCCTTTTTTCTCCAACGAAACCTAGGGTTTAGCCTCTCTTTTTTCTCTAAAACGAAACCTAGGGTTTACGCTTATGTATGGAGAGAGAGGGTTTGTAACCATAAATTTAAGACGTTTTGAAATTATTAGAGTTTGTTTTGATGTGTTTTTTAGCAATAAAGCTATTGAATTTAGAATTGTGTTAGGTGACTTTGTAGGATTAGAATTCTGGAGAGATGTTACTGTACTGATAAAAATTCTGATGAGCTAATGATTGCATTGAGCTGCTGAGTGAAAATTTCCTGCCCTGGCTACTAGTCATCTAAAAATTGGAAACACCTTTTTGATAATTTTGTTGCTCTAAAAGCAAGAACCACATCAATGAACCAAATTAAGCTAGTAGCTTATATACTACAACTATGGTGTCCTGGAAATTCTAAAATGTACGGAACACGTGGCCTGGAGTATTTAAGTATCATGTGTTTAGAAATTGTGGACACATACCCTCAAGTATGCAGGAGTACCAGTATCCGATACGAAAACATCCCCCTCATAGGAGTATCTCTGCTGCTAGCTTGGAATGTGATGGAATACAAAGTAAACCTGTTAGTTGTTAGTTACCCATGTTGCTGTTGTTCTGATGCTATTATTATGATTTGACCTATTATGTGGACAACTACAGATAATTTGAGGGGTAACATTGACGAGCCAGTGGAAGATGGGGACACAGCTCTTCATCTGACTTGTCTCTACGGCCATCTGCCTTGCGTCCAGGTCAGTAACCTCACAATGTCTATTCTACTTCTTATAATTACAACTAGGGGACAGAAATGAACCAGACCTGAGAACTGAACAAAACCAAACGTGGCATTTATGATTCAATTTTGTCTAGTTCTTCAGCGATGTCAGTTCGGTTCTAGTTCTGATTTTTTTTAGAACCTACCTCATCAGTTTATTTCAGGGTTTGGATTTTGTCAACCCAAACCCCAACCTGAAAACGAGGGTTTTTTTCTCAGTAAAAATAGTTCCATGGTTGGGAGCATGGGAAATTGAAACCAGTCAAAACTGAACAGATGATTCTTGGTTTGATTTGGTCCAGTTCATTCAATGCTTTGGTTCAGTTTTGGCTTTGGAAATCGAGAACCAAGGATGTGAACCCCTAATTACTACTACCATTCCATTATCATTGTTGTTATTGTTATAGTATCTTTTTCTTTTTATCATATAGCTATTGTTGGAGAGAGGAGCTTCTTTGGAGGTTAAGGATGAAGACGGGGGAACTCCTTTGCATGATGCTTGTGCTGGAGGTAGGCTATACCCCTTCCTTTCACTATTATGCCTTGTAATATTCTTGTTGATCTTTTTTCTTTTTGCCAATGACTATCTGCAGGATATACAGAGGTAGTCCAACTTCTAATCAGCAGCGCTAATGATCCAGAGTGTGTGAAAAGAATGCTAGAATCAGTGGATGTAGAAGGTGACACTGTGAGTGGTTTTCTGATCATACACACTCCAAACCTTGGATTAGCTGGTTAAAGGCCTCATTAAAATCACATGAATTTTAACTGTTATACTTATCAAAAAAAAAAAAAAATGAATTTTAACTGTTACAATTTTTAGAATTCTGTTTTTTTTTTTAAGTAATTGGCCTTCCTTTTTTTTTAAAAAAAGAAGTAATTGGAGCTCAAATCAGCTGCCTCTTGTTGCTTCTTTTCCAAAAGGATCTTGTTTGTGGTTATGTATCATAATTTTTTAATTTTTTTTTCTCCTTCAACTTGTATAGCCTCTTCATAATGCGGCAAGAGGTGAGCATCTAAATGTTATAAGATTCTTGCTGGTTAATGGAGCTTCTCCTGTGAAGACAAATATCTCTGGAAAGGTTAGTACTCGAAAGGTTTCCTATGCTATTTTTCCTTCCTCATATTTGGCCCCCCTAATTTGCATTTTTTGGTAGGCGCCGAGCGAGCTAGCTGACCCAGGCACAGAAGCTCGGAGAATTTTGGAAGCTGCGGCTGGTGCTGTGGCATGCCAGTAGGCATACTTGCTGGAATGTTGAATTTTGCTATGGCTGTGTTCCTGCCATTGTCTTTTTTGGGCTTTCTGCAGTAGGTAGTTTACATTATAATTTCTATAAAATTTTATCAGAATTTGGTTATCAAATGGTTTTTAGAACCTTGGTTGAGGAAATATGGGAGATAGGCTGTCCATGAATGCAATATGAAAGTTTTTAAGCATAATCTGTTGTATGGATTTTATTGAAACAAGATCTATATAGAACGCTTCCACTACCGAATCAGCAGTGTCTTTCAATGCCGTTTTGCTGGTTGAGTCCTATCAAAGATAACCCATATTCTTTAAAGCGATGTTGGCGAGCGGAGTCTGGATTTCATTTCAAAAGTAACTGTCGAAAATTCATATGTGGAATATAAAATTTACTGGGTTTAGCCATTGATATGCCCTCTAAATGTTGTCTAGGCTTGCTTGTGTTCTGCACCTGATTGCATAAGAAAAGTGAATTACTGTTTTAATAATATTGGCAAAGCAATTAATAATTGTAAAATACTCAAATGCCATGTTTGGCGGTGGTGTAGTGCTGTGGAAAAATTAATCCCAACTTCAATTATGGGCCATCGAATGTGACTCTGGATGAATACTCGCGTTTGGGATTTAGGATTGGTTTTTCAACAGATCTCAACAACTGAGAAATAAAATGAAGTAAAAAAAATTACTTGTTTATAAAAATTGGGAAAGGCAACTGCGAGCACTCATTGATGGTCATAACTATGGTTGCGATGGAATGGATTCTGGTGAACAACTATGTAAATCGATCGAGTCGGCTAAGGTCACGGTGTAATGGCGAATATCGATGTGAATCGGTTTAGTCAGCTATGGTCACGGTGTAATGGATTTGGGCGGTGTAATGGCGAATATCGATGTAAATCGGTTTAGTCAGCTATGGTCACGGTGTAATGGATTTGGGCGAATATTACCGGTCGAGTCGGCCGCTTTGAATATATGTAACGATATCGAACTCTTGAAAAATAGTTACGAACTTAGCGAAACATTGCGTATGACGGTAAACCATAGCCGGAACTTTGAAAGGAGCTAAAGATTTAAAACATATGTTGGCTACTCATGAAACAATGTTTCATGTGAACTCTATACTAGTAGTTAGGACTGCCGGAAAGCTCTTGATGTAAATTATACAATCTGTTCTAAAGTTAGGTATAAAACTGTGTGTGCAAAATCATTCAAGTAGGGGCAATATAAAAAAATTGATTGTTACGCCAAATGGTGGAATATTTTTCTTAAAGACAAGAAGAATTCAAGAGAGTCTCGTTAGAGATTATACAATGATGACGACATGTGCCCATCGTTAATAACAATTAATGAATCTTTGCCCAGTGGCAGTAGTACGTCGACAGAATAAAGATTACCAAATCAACGGTCACCACTTACGCCACGTCATCAGAAACAGACTGTATTGTTGACTCAAAGACAGCAGATTCCTGTTAAAATACAGATAAACTCTGATCTACCCATTAAATATTTTTAAAAATCAGGTTATATATATATTGTGTGTATATATATAGAGAGAAAAATTAGAGGGGGAGGGCTGTACTTTGTGTTTGATTTCTCAGAGCTCTGGTGTAATCGACTCGAGTCTCTGTCTGGCGAGCCTGGTTTAGCCTCCAAGATCTCAAGAGGTAGGTAGAGTTGAGATCGGGAAGCTTTAAAACGGATTAAAAATGGCGGCTGCGCCCACTAGAGCTCGAGCGGATTATGATTACCTCATCAAGCTTCTTCTCATCGGAGACAGCGGCAAGTCTTTCTTCTCCTCTCTCTTTTCTTACTCTCTCTCTATATATGTGTGTATGTTTATGTCTATATCAAATTTAAGTGTTTTCTACTGATTTGATTACGAACTGCTTTGGTTACTTTACGGGCTTGTGTTTTATCTGAATTTTTAGGGTTCCTGATGCATAAGCTTTAATGTTAATTCTCAACTTATATATTGTTTGAGTTCATTACTCGGGTTTCCATGATTTTGGGAGTTTTTTTTTTCTTCTTTTAAACATAAATCTGGAATTAGAATTTCCTAAATTGCATATTCACCCTCTGTTTAATTGAAGGGAAAATCTAATTTGGAACGAATTTATCAAGACATGTAATTTTTGTTTTATACAGTATTTTTCAAGAACTAAAAATTTGATTAGAGTAGACCAAATAGTTAATTGGGTTCAGTTGTGTTGCCCTTAAAGTTCAATGAATGCCCATTTTGCTACTTCTAAGGTTGCTGAATAAGTTGATCTTTTATGCTAATAACAACTAGTAACAGAGTAACACTAATTGTGGTCTATGCTTTTCCTATGTTCACATCTGTTCAAGCTAACCTACTCACTATTCAGTAGGGATGTCAATTTGACCTTCACCTAATGGGACTGATTTGGGTGTCTTCTAATTGGGTTAGGTGTGGGTTTGGACCAAGAATCAGAACCCGTCTGGCCCTGATCCCATCCTGGTTGGTTTTAAAATTATACACAAAAAGATATATGTATTTTTGTTCTTTTCATTATTTTTTCATCATCTTTCGGATTTGTAACCATAAAATTAACAGAAATGTATAATTATAGTTGTTTAATATTTTTCATGACACTTTTAACTTTCTTTTAAAAAAAAAAAAAAAAAAAAAAAAAAAAAAAAAAAAAAAAAAAATCTATCTTGAATTTGTTTAGGATAGTATCTAGTTATTTAAATCATGCATAGTGGGGTGGGGTTTGGGAATTGATTTTTCTTCATATATAATTTTGGAATACAGGCACCACATACCATTCTCGTCCTGTTACATCCCTACTCTTCATTCACTTGTACTTTTCCATCTCCCCCCTCCCTTCTTCCATTTTCCTTTTAGGTCGACATTGTTGTTGTGGAATTGGCTATGAGTTTTGAATTCATTTTGATATAATGTATTTGCTGTTTGGCTCTCTGTTTTTGCTGTTAAAATGAAATCATACACTGGCAAGGTAATTGAATAAGAACCGATCATGCAATGTTAAGGACACGAGGGATTTTCTTATAATTCTATGCTGTTGCATTGTCCCATATTGTTCAAACGTTAGCAAAATTCTACTTTTTATTTTTGGTTTTCATTTTTCATATTAGTAAATTCTTGCTACTTTCCTTCTTTTGGTAACATTGCCTTCGGATTTCTCCTATTATAAGCCATAACAAATTATTTAAGTATCACATACATGTGGTAGGTAGTGATACATTTTCCATGCATAGTCTTCCAACTCTCACTACTATTATGATTTATATTTGCAGGGGTTGGAAAGAGTTGCCTGCTATTACGTTTCTCAGATGATTCATTTACAACAAGTTTCATTACCACAATTGGGTACATATTTGTAACCTCTGACTAAAATGTGTTATAATTTAATTATCTTGTGCAGCTCCCTGAAATGTGAATGTCTATATCAGGATTGATTTTAAGATTAGAACCATTGAGCTTGACGGGAAGCGCATCAAACTGCAAATATGGGATACTGCTGGCCAAGAACGTTTCCGGACAATTACAACAGGTACTTATAGTTTTTGGTCCATGGAGAAAACATGAAACTTAAATTTTGTAAGGGCCTGGAATGTTGCTCTGTGAGGAGGTAACCTGTTTGAGAAATGGGTAAATTACCATGACCTCCCCTGAGGTTTGGACTTATTACCGTCAGATGAAAGTTCTGAAAAAATGTAAGTCAACCTCCCTTAAGTTTTAGTAAAAGTAGCAGTCAACCCCACTTTGGTAAAGGGCTGTTAGTTCCGTTAAATAATTTTTTTTAAATGCCAAAAAGGCCCTTCAATTAGATTATGTTTATTATAGAATATTAAATATACACAAATATAAAAATTAGATGGACCATCGACACCACCACCACATCCCCTCCTGCCACCATCCCTTCTCTCTCCTCTCTCGGTTCTCTCTCCGTCACCACCAATTCATCCATACAGCCCACTCCACCACCACTACCTCTTCTCCTTTTCAATTGTGAGGAACTGCTTCTTCTTGGGGACCATATTACCGAAGCATCAACACCAAAATTTGTGAACCAATTTGGTTGAGTTTAGGAGTTTTGGCGTTTGGGGAGAAGTGGTAGGTTGCAGTTGAGGAAGGAGAGAAATTTGTGAACCAATTTGGTTGTGTTTGGGCATTTTGGCATTTAGGGAGCCATGGTAGGTCGCGGTTGAGGAAGCGGTGATTTGGTGAAGGGTTGATGTAATCGGAGAAGATATGGTAGATATTACTGAGATTAGAGGTCTGGAATTTGAAGACGAGAGAGGATTAGATGCTGAAGTTGTTGCGTCTGTGTGTTTGATTGTGTGTGTGAGAGAGAGAGTGAGTGGAGAAGTAGATAATGTGTGGAGAAGAAGTACATGTGCAAAATCACCAATTTAACTTTTTGGACGAAACCATGGCTACCAACTGGTGCAACCGAGTTTCCGTCAGTGTGAAACCATGGCTGTTTTGAGGCCCGAAATGTCGGAGGACGAGCGACTCGCTCTTACTGAGGAGTGCAAAGAGGTAGTGATGACGGTGGAGGTGCTGGTTGCGGCGGTGGGTTACTGTGGAATGTATATTTATACGAGTATATATATTACCTTTATATGTTTTTATATATAGTAATATATAATACAGTATATGTTTATTAAATTTGTATTTTTAATAATTTGTTTTGCTTACTCAGCATTGGGGTAATTAAATATAGATTATTAGTTGTAGTTTTGTAATAGACTTTGACGGTGTTAAGAATCTTAACTCAGACACGGGGTGCGAGGGTGATTTTTTTTATAAGTTTCATCTACGGGTAATAAGTCCATACCTCAGGGGAGGTCAGGGTAATTTACCCTTGAGAAATCTATTGGTGACTTTATGGTATTCATCAATTCACTACTCTTGTTCTAAAGCATTAAAAACACTTGTAGACCCACATCTACCACAACCTGCAGTTTTCTAGACCATATATTGACCCATCTTTTTGATCACTTCCCATGCCATCACATTATATTTGATAGTCAGAGGTATAACAGTGTGAAGATGATCAAGCCAACATTCAAAGATTATTCACTGTAATTGAACTTTAGTTTGAGAGGATTGCTTGGAAATACTAACTGAATTTGGATCCTATCAGTGTGGACGTTTGGCGGTATAATTTTGGCAGAGCATTTTGGTTTAAATTTTATTGTATCCAAGGAATATTCTTTGACTTAGGGTTAGGATCCAGGTCATTTCATTTAAAAATTTAGATTTCTTCTTCAATTTTGCTTAATAATCTTGTTCTTTCTTGTGTAGCTTATTACAGGGGAGCCATGGGTATACTGCTGGTTTATGACGTCACTGATGAGTCGTCCTTCAACAGTATTTCCGTTTCTTTCCTTGTTCTTTCTTCCTTTAGACTCTTGCTTGATTTGTAAACAAGAAGGACAACTTTTCTTTCCTTTTTTTTTTATTTTAAAAAATAAAAACAAATAAACAAGCAACTATGAAATGAATTTATGATTCCTGGTGTAATATCATGTAGACATCAAAAATTGGATTCGGAACATAGAGCAACATGCCTCTGATAATGTCAACAAGATACTAGTGGGTAACAAAGCTGACATGGATGAGAGCAAAAGGGTAAGAACTTGCCTGGATTCTCTACTCAAGCTGGTTCCTTTTAAGATATTATCATCGATTGAAGTTTCAACTTTTTTTGCAGGCTGTGCCAACATCTCGGGGTCAGGCACTGGCTGATGAATATGGTATCAAATTTTTTGAGACGGTAAGTTAGTAGAACATGCAGCACATGAGAGAGCTAGCTAGTGCAGTTTTAAATTTGTTTGGATCACATGGGCGAAATCAGGAACCTATTTTTCAAATTATTGTTGCTTATAACTTTTCATGGGTAGGCCCTCTATATACATGTATATATATGTATGTATGTATATTGGCCTGGGAAGCATCTGGTTGGTCATGTATCTACAACATTGGAACCTGGAGACACGCTCTACTACGCTGACACTATTGAAACCTTTCGTGCAGAGTGCCAAAACAAATTTCAACGTGGAGCAGGTCTTCTTTTCTATTGCTCGAGACATAAAGCAAAGACTCACTGATAGCGACTCTAAACCAGAGGTACATAAGTGAATTCAAGGATTTTCTTATCGGTTGCAGATTTATATGATTTGTATTGATATGTTAAATCATGTTTATTGCGTTGACCTTCTCGATATGCAGCCTCCAACCATCAAAATCAGTAAACCTGATCCAGGCAAGGGTCCAACTGCTGCTCCCGAGAAATCAGCATGCTGTGGTACTTGAGTTTTAGCACATGAACAAGGTTTTTACCATATTTCCCTTGCGCCTGTGAAGTCATACAGTTCAGTGAAGTTGCTTCCCGTTCATTCTGGGAAATTGAAAGCCCTCGTACTCTTCTTGTTATAAAACCAAGGTGTTAGCCCTTCCTCAATCTACAGGGAAGACATTTTGAATGATTTATAATATTTTAGCATACCTGCGTATGCAGACTGCATAGATATTTACATATGGATGTTTGCTTCTCTTATTACCTTCAGAGCACATATCAAGATTAATGTAACTTCATTTATCAAGTTCTCTGTACAAACTAATTCTGGTTAAATGTTGTTATCTTGATAATGCATTCTCTTTGTTATTCCAGATAGTGGTAAGATTTGGAGTGTGTTTTGATAGTCTTTGTTTTTTTCCCCTAGTTGATACTCACACCCGCACTATGATTTTTTTTTTTCCCCCCTAGTTGATACTCACACTCCCAGTATGCTATGATAGTCTGTGACTTGTTATGCAACAGGGGATGTGTATACAATCCGGAACTCATTGATGATATCTCGTAGAAATGATCTCATTGATGAAGATATTATCTGTCTTCTTTATTTTTTTGGTTTGGGGTGGGGGTTAAATTTCTTATGATTTCTTCAAACACCTCTAGTCGATTATTGACGCTTTTATTGCGGCATGAGGATTCTCTGTAGTGCACTAGTGGCTGTTCTGTGCATTTTTAACTATTACATTGAGGATGTTACAACTTACAAGTTATGTGCATTTTAAACCGTTACACTGAGGATGCAACACTTGTATCAACATATGAATGCCTCGTATACAAAGCACAACACATTTACCAAGCACGTACATAGATTGACAGTTTGACACCCATTAAAACATTTCCTTGCATCCCCATACAAAAAAACACATAAATTGGTACCCATTAAAATGGCTATTACAGTATTGGTCCTAGAACTAAAATATGCAGCTTTTATTAGTGTAGTTTCTACCATTGCTTCTGCGTCTTCAAATTTATTAGTCTAAGCTTTCATCATTGCACAAGCAAGTATCCTAGCCTGTGGCCCACGCCAACTATTTGATCAGTACGGGTGGGGTGAACTCTGATTCGATTGAGTGTTCAATGATGCCACTGATGTGCTCAGTTGACTCCTTAACCTTGATAGGAAGATGGATAATTCTTCCTAGGGGTAGGAACTTTGGATGGTCAGTGAAGAACGCCCAACACATTGAGCAACGACGAAATGACAAGATGAGGCACCCCATTTAGGAACAAGGGTCAAAGGTTTTAGAAAGGAGGATGGAAGGTTTGGGGCTGTGGTCCAAATAAATTGGCATACAACCATACATTTGTTAATGTTTATGATCAAATCTAATAATCACATAAATCATTAGATCATTCTTAGCAGCAACGACGAGTGCCTTTCAAAGCATAAAAGTAGGAAAAATAAAATAAACAAATGTGAATTTGTTTCAATAGCAACTTAGATGACAATAAACAAGAATAAAGACCAAAAAGGGCAACCAACTTTACACAAGCTAACCAATGTTATTTTAGTGCCAATACTCCCGGAACAGCAGCACCAGTGACTGGCACAACCGAAGCACAACAGCAGCAGTAAGGGGTTATTAAAAACAAAAAAAAAAAAAAACATATACATAAGCTGTGTGCGCGCCATGGGCAGTACCAGCATGAGGGCTTCCTTTAATACACGTCTTTCCAAATCAAAGGCTCCTGCATTTATGAGCAACAACTACTGTGAGGAGGTTGCTGGTGTTCTTGCTTCTGTTTTAAGATATTTCTCTTCACTGCAGTAGATCCTTCTTCCAGAAGACTAGGAACTTCCATTATCTGTGGAAAAATTCAATATTGGGTAAAACTTGGAACAGAAAATGGACTGTTGCGTCAAATAATGTAACTATCACTGAACATACAGCTGCTGCCTGTTATCCAAAGATTTTTAGCATTTGAACTATAACTGAAATAATTTAGTTTCATTTCATATTAGTCTGACAAACTATACCACTTTGAGGTCTACATCAACAGATGACAAGGGATTCCGTATCCATCCATAACTAAAATGATGCTCACACGAGGACTTCAGTCCCCAAACATAACCCCGCTTCCAAATTATGCAGTGTTTATCCGTGAAAAATTACAAATATAGCAATATGAAGTCCACCCAAAGGTTTGAGTAACTCCAGTTTCCACACTTCATAGTATAATTATAACATGGTCCTACTATATGACTACCGGATGGATCGAGATGACTTTGATCAAAGGGAGTATCAACCACAGGTGAACTACATTTTCTGCATAATTGTCCTACGTGTGCAGCAGTTAAATAGTATCTTTCGAGTTCATTGATATGTCATTACAATGCCACTTGAAAATTGAAAAGGATAAATGCCTTTTTCATTTTACCTTTAAGGCAAGCTCTTCGAAGCATTTCTCCACTTTTTCTCGAGTTTTAGCACTACATTCAAGAAACAGACATCCATGCTCTTTTGCAAGGGCAATCCCTTCTTCTCTATTTACAACCCTTTCTGATTCCTGGAATCATACAAGCAATGAATTAAAAAAATATATATTAATAATATAATAAAGAAGCTTAATCTTTCAAAAAGTGAACCATGTGCATCATTAACAAAGAATATCAACCATAATTCATAAATAGCTGTAGCTAAAAAATTAGACACTAGACTTGACAGAAGCTCAGTGTTTGCAGTAAGAAAGCTCTATTACCAGCAGAAAAAAATTGAGAAAATAAAATAAAAAATGAAATAATAAGGAAATGGTGTATATGTAAGCTGTGAGCAGTCCAGGGTAAAATCTGAGAGGATTTGATAATGTACGGACTACTGATGGGCCTAGATTGAATCTGAGAGGAATTGTAAGTCCATTCATGCAAAAGCAAGAAATACTTAACTAATTGCAGTCCACTGAAAAATAAATTATGCAAAATGAACTGTAAACTCTAGTCTCCTAAATGCTGATTATGATAGTAATCAAACTCGGGGATCCCCACATGGAGCTTCGTCACTCTCTATGGCACCTGTACCTGTGTTAGTGTGTTACCTCAGGAGAAGTGTTGGTCAGGTATAAACATTATTTATATTTATCGAAGTAATAGCCAAGCTCCTTTCCTATACCACTGGGACTACATGGTGTACCAGCCACATTGCAGGAGGTCCCACTGCCAGAGACAGCTTGGCAGTTATGTGGCGATACCGACACAACGTGGTTGGGGGGTCCTGCTGTCTGAGACTACAATTTGTAAAGTTTTTTATTGATTTTTTGGAGTCCAATTATAATACGAAGGTTTTGCTGCATAGGGTCCCTTTTTCTTTCCATTTTGATCCGACTGTCTTACTCATTAAATATACAAATAAAACCAACAGCAGAAGGAATTTTATATAATTTCTTTCATGTCAGAACAGAACCACCTCCAAATTCTTTCAGTAGCTTTCTTAAGGAAAGAAGATCCATTTAATCTCGTGTTTTGTCACTTATTTACTTTTTGCAACAGGCAAGAGATGAACAGATAAATAATGCTGAAGCCTCTCTGTCCTGTAATTTACAAGATAAGCACAACATGATAGAAAGAACCAAACAAAAATATTCCATTAATATCAGCCAAATGCATAGCCTAGATGATATCGAAGCAAGCATCTATAATTGAAAATCAACATAAAACAATCCCAATAGATATGTATAGGAGGTACCTTAAACCCTTGAATAATTTTGCTTTCTGGACTCATATTTTCAAGCAGAAAAAGAAAAATAGAGAATGCAGAACTTACTCTATCAACTTTGTTTCCAACAAGCATCTTGACGCAATCCTGATTAGTGGAGTAAAGATCTATTTCCTTAGCCCATACATCAGATAAATTTGTAAATGTTTCCCTCCGTGTCACATCATAAACTATAATTCAAGCAAATAAAATCACTGAGTTCAAGAAATGAGAACCATGGGAGCATAGTGCCGTAAATATGAAAAAGATGTAGCATATAACATCTGCAAAGTATTACATTAAAAGTCTGATTGACGGTGCATGTACGACTGCAGCAACCAGTACAACTTTTAGGTCAGTAATCCTTACACTACACCACCACTGCACTAGTAGGCAAACATCACAATGTCTGATGTTTGTCATTTATATTGTGCAAAGAATATGAAGGTAAAGATCATAGGGCTTCCACATAACATGATATTGAATGATTTGGAACTGAAGTGGAAGTTAAATGCAGATTCAAAGATGTGTGAACGGGAAGAATTAAGCTTCGCTATAGATGACTATTTATATACTAAAGCATGAGAACAGTGGAAATTTGAGAAGCACGACTTTTCACATGAAAAAGAGCTTAGTTCTGTATAAACAGACATCACATTTTCTTTGGGCCTATAAACAGTGCCAATGAATGCAAAAAACTTGGATGTAATCATAGCCTCGTATTTCCTAAACTTGAACAAACACACACACACACACACACACACACAGTGGCATGTAGGAAATATGGAAATAGAGATTTAAAATACCAATACATGTGGACTGCTTTCAATTATATTTGTCTTGGTTAAATTATTTAAGCTTGAGAGTAGTGACTTCGTGCATATAAACATCTTCCAGCGCTCTGTATTGATGGGACTGATACTGGATGATGTAGTTTTAATTTATTCCTTATATTAAAAAAATAAAAATTGTAACTTTTGTGATTTTCTATACCAAACTCAAAAATTATAAATATTTTTCCAAAGAGGAACTTCACACATGTTGAAGCCAGCGCAGCTAAGCAATTCTGTATATCACAGCTTAATTAGTTGTGCATCATAAATTCTAAAGAACCAAATAGAAAGCATGACTTATCATTATCAATATATTAAGGGAAATAGCAGCATTATTTTCTCCAATGGAGTCAAATCATAAATTGACCTAAAATATGATTTTCCCAGTGGATGGGCCTTGCTAAAAAGGCTTTTACACGTTTACTCATAAAAAATATAACAAATGGCCATCTATAAACTATATCAAGAAAATAATATTTTCCACACACCTTATGGGATGAAATGATTTTATTATGTTGATGGCTTACCAAGAATAATCCCCTGGGCACCTCTATAGTAAGAGCTTGTTAACGTTCTGAACCTCTCCTGTCCAGCTGCAAGAAAATTTACGAGTTTATAAACTGATATAATTTTTTCACAAAGTTGTGGAAAAAAAAAAAGGTTTTGTCTGATCAATCACAATAATAGGCAACAGATACTAAAAAAATGTGTCACATTTATATAATAGGTTGTTGCATGTAGTGTGAACAACATTAAGACACCGTTTGTTTGGATGTAAAATATTTTTCGGAAAATATTTTTTTATTTTCTGGTGAAATATTTACGAAGAAAAAAAATATTAATATTTAACAAAAATAATATATCCATCAATTTTTGGCAAATTATTTTACATGCCTCGTCCGATAGACTCAACCTCAACCTCGACGTAGACCTTACCAAACACTGAAAAAATAAAAATTAAAAGAATATTTTACCTGAAAAAAGAAAATATTTTTTAAAAAAATTATTTACATCGAAACAAACGGAGCCTAAACGTTTGCATAAATAGATAAAATCATGTATATGTATCACACTATCACTGATCCTATACAAGCAACATGTCTTGTCTAGAACCACCAATGACTTCAACAGGTGAGATTCCTCCACCCTGTTACAGATTAACTAAAGAATCCAGCTACCCCATTTCATCTGTCCAAAACAGTGGTGTATCCAAAATCATTCATAATCCTAAAGGTAACATCTGGAATTTTGACTACTAAAGAAATAACGCAAGTGCAATGATTAGTACTCAATAATAGCACCCAAAATACATACATTGTATCATGGGAATATCATAATAAGACATTAATTAGGCACTTTATCCTTATTTTGTCTTAATCCACACAAACTTTCAAATGTATACCACAAAAGCCGTATTGGGGTGTACTGGTGTAGGGTGCGAATTTACCTGCCACTTGTTTGGGATTACCTCATGGCTCTTCCTTTAAAACTACAGTGATGTGGGACTTAATGGTGGAGCTATTCATGGGATTGGCTGGATGGAGGAGACAATATCTGTAGGAGTGGGGCTTACTCTCACTAAAAGTACCCTATCCCATTGGCAACATAAGCTTAATATTAATAAAAGTGCCCACTCCAATTGGTGACTTATTTGTTCTCTCTTTTTTCCCCATACCAGCTTCAATTTAAAATAGGTTTCCATACGCTCTAGAGGAACTTTTTACGGGATGACATCAAACATAAGTCTATCATTTGGTTACCTAGGACATTTTGTGTAATCCAATTAAAGATGGAGAATTTTGTATTCCAAATTTTAACTTGTTTAATCCAGGACTGTTAGGAAAATGGCTTTGGCAGTATGAAGAAGAGAGCAATTGCCTTCAGCAGGACAATAAGGGACCCCAGCACCGGGGACGAGGGTGTGGGCTGGAGAGGAACCTGTACTTCAGAGAGGTCGGAGGTTCAAACCTCCTATGAGCTGAAGGTTTGGAAGGCATCTGAGAAGGTGAGATGAATTCCACAAACGAGGTGAAAATTGCATGAGGGTCAATCTGTGGCAACTGGCATGAAACGGTGAAGACCCTTTGAAGCAAGTCTTCTCAAGTCTTTCCAAGATGGCATTGGGCTAGAACACTCAAGTTGTGGATATTGTTAAAGCAAGTGAGGGTAGAGTACTTTGGGAGCTTAGATTCATCAGGACTTTGCAAGATCGGGAGCTAGAGGACATAAAAGCCTTTTTTAGCTGCTATATTCACAGGATATTAAGCTGGGGGAGCAGGATTTGTGGAATGTATTGCTTCTGGGGGTAGTAGATTAGAGGTTTTATCCTATCATAGGGGTTGAGGTAAAAACCATACGGATTTTCTTGGAAGGCCATTTGGTAGACCAAGGCTCCCCCAAGATTGCCTTTTTTTTTTTTTTTTTTTTTTTTTTTCCCAGTTGGACAGCTATGCCTGGAAAGATTCTAACCATACTTAATATTATTAACAAAACATAATTATCAATAAAATGAATTGATGCTAGAAGTACAAAGAAGGATGCATTGTTAATAATCCCCTTTTTTTTTCTTCCTCTTTTAGCTTTTGGGCAAAGCCCAATTCAGCCTGTGACCTTTTGTCATATTCTATGTTAGAGAGGTTGGGTGACTCAATGCTCTCAATTGTACCTCTTTTGTAGTTCTGTTTTCACATTTCAATTGCCGCCTTTACACGATCTTCAATTCTTAAACGAAGGAAAAGAGTTTGTAGAAAACACATTAAGAGTGTAGCACAAATGTTATCATATTAAACCAATTGCATCCATAATTACCAACAAATTCAACAATGCATGAGAGCAAAAAAAGGAAAAGAGAATGATCATTAAAATAATAATGATGAAAGTCCTACTTGTTTTCAAGGGACAAATAAATTAATATGCTCTTGCCAATAGTTACCAGTATCCCAAACCGTAAGCTTCAATCTTTTCCCACCAACTCTAAGTAGCTTGATTTTAAAATCCACACCTGGAAATAGTAAATAAGAGGAAAAAAATAAATTAAAAAATTCAATATGTGATCAGGTTAGAAATCTCAGCCTATCATATAAAGAGTCACGCTTGCACCAAGTAAATTGCATAAAATGTTGGAATATTTTGAATAGAACATTTGCAAAAAGACATGTTGCTAGTTAATCAAAGGTAAATTTACTCTTTTATAGAAGTATAGACACTTGCCAAACAGAGATCTTCAAGAACTTTAAGATGACTAGACAAAGTCAAACAAAACAAGTAGGTGTGACATAAAGAGAATGAAGTTTAAAGAACCAGGACTCGAATTTGAGATCCCAAGGTAGTAACCTTAAGACCCTGCCATCTGAGCAACCCTGACAGGTTCAAAATAGCAAACACTGCCAACACAAATAACCCATAACACCAACAAATTACTAAATAAATCACCTAATTTTGGCAGCATGCACTCACCACCGGTTAGTGGAGCTCTTAATCAAAAATCTTAACAAAACTATTAAGAACCTTACTGGAACTGTTTCTCACCAGTCACCAAATCCACCTAATCACCATCCCGGACACATGCATCTGAACAAGTGCACTTAGCAAACACATCTACAATTCAATATATGCAAATCTAGATAACCACATTTATCCATATACCCTAGTATTTTAAAATTTAGAAAATACGGATCACGCCCAAGCAATTACCTATCCCTATATATATATATATATATGATCTAAAGAATTTTAAAATATAAGCTCACTCCTAGAAGCAGATCGTCCCTGCCTAGAGTTCTTCAAGTAACAATTAACAAAATATAAAATCATACATATCAACACATGCTATTAATCGACAAATTATTATAAGTTTAAGATATCAAACACTTACATGTAAGGTAAATGAAACAGAGAAAATTAATTAAAGAAAGATAAAATGCCACAAAACTTCACTAAACATACTCACTATTGAGTTTCAAAATCAAATAATACAGTACACAGACTAAAATGCTGGCATAAATATCCATATATAAGTAGGCATATGTATAATAATTGTGCGTATAAATTGTGATGTGAGTATACAAATTAAATGAAGAGGTACCGATTGTAGGTGCGAGATCTTCAGCTGAGTTAGAGATGAAACTGACGAGAAGGCTGCTTTTACCGACGCCAGAGTCGCCGATCAACAGGATCTTGAATGACAGGTCGTAACTGTTGCTTTGCCCCGACGACGATCCCATTTATGATCGATCACTCTCTCTCTCTCTAGCTCAAGCTTAATTTCTCTCCTCTCTCCTCTCTCCTCCCTCCTCAACAACACTACAATGCTCTGACAATGTGCTTTTAATAAGAGAGAGGGCAGAATACGAAAAAGAGGAAAGCTAATGGCATCTCAGAGAGAGCGTGTGTTGTGTAGTTTTAGAGAGAGAAAGAAAAGCAACAAAACGGCTACCTGAGAACAGCGGACAGGAAACGTATTCTTCTCTCTCGCACACACAAAAGAACTGCAATACGACTCCGTTTTCACGGAACGCACGGTTTATGCAGTCGACTTTTTGTCGCTATTTTTTATAACAATTGATTTTTCATTTTTTTTATTCGCTAGTTAAATAATTTTCAATTTTGTCATTCACTTACAAAACAAAAACAATTATTTTCAATCTACTTTTGCCATGATATATTTTTTTTTTTTGTTTCATTTATCAATAAAACACGTCCAAAGGTTAATAGTATAATTCTTTTTCTCTTCTACATTAGAGTCTTGTGGTCAATATTTGATTTGAATCATATCTATGTAGATATTTTTCATATCTGGTTCATAAAATAAAAGAAAAAAATTATAATAAAATAATATACACTTGATTTTGCTAAAAGTGATATGGTAAAGTGTAAAACAATAGTCAATTCATCAATAGTAATGAATTTAATATTATTATTTTTGTTTTTTTGCACTTTACTTTGAAAATTATAATGAAATAGATTTATACAATTTTATGTTAAAACTTAATATTTTGTTTGATTCTATCAAAATTATGATTACTCTTTGGAGGAGAATTGACATCCAACCTAATTAAAATTTAGTACTGTAATGAATTGTTAGACTCACAATTTTTAATTTGTCATTTATAAAATAAAAAATAAATTTTTCACTTACATTTAACATAAATAACCAATCAAATATTGTTAATTCATTTCAAAGAATTAGAATGGACCACTCCATTTCATACCTTAGACGGTCTAAGATACACTATTGATAGTGACATTTTTGTAATAAAGTAGCGATTTATTTGTTTCACGCGCTTAGAAAACGCGCGTGAACGTGATTGTACCACAAGCGAAATGAAGTATTGTGCTCCATGGAGTATGGGCTTTGGTGAAAGGTCAGCGTCTGAGTGGGCTTTTCATGGTTGGAGTTTTTGGAATTGAAACCAATGCGTCTTTTTTTGGGAATTTGCTAGGAACTTTCTAGTGTACTACTAAGATTCGTACAAAATGGATTGTCACACAATAATTTGTTGATTAGATTGGATGGTTAATAAATGTAATTAAATATGGACCACTTTAAGACTCCATACGTGTGTTACAATGGTTGATAAGACTACATGCTTTTGTGCTTTGGTATGGTAGATATGGGGGGTTTTATAGAGTTTGTGGTAAGTCTCTTTCATTAGAATCCAAGGAAGCTTCCAACTTTACCATGTGAAAATGACCAACATCGCCATCAAAGGTAATTAACTTGATGGGACAAACCACCTCATTAAATACATGTGTTTTCCAATAAGATAGGCTCACTCTAGTATAATACCACTATCAAAATTCCAAGCAGTGCATCAGATCCAACGAGTAGTACAATGCACCATCACTTACGAGATTTGATGTGTGTGCTGGTGGACAAGAATTTACTCTGACGTAAAAAAATTCTTACATAAAATCTAGTGGTTGAGATTGTATTATCATTATTGAATTTTATTTATTAATTTAATCTCAGCTATTGAATTTTGTGCAAGACCTTTCTCGTACTGAAGAGGATCCTCGTTCGTGTGTTCATACCCCTCACATTTTCTTTTCGGCCGTTGATTAAATTTATAAAATAATAATTTTGTCTTCTCCTTGTAGAAAAATTATGTCAAATTTTTTTTAAAAAAATAAATAAGATCATTATTTACTTTTCACATTTAAAGTTACTCTACAGCAATCGACCAAGACTGACCCAAAACACACAAAAAAAAATTCTCTCCAAAAGAAAATTGTGGAACCCTTGACAAAAATGTAATTATCTTCGGGTCCAATTCTTCAACCAAAGACTTGGGCGAGAATCGGGCCGGTGTAGCACAGTTCAAAATCAGTCCTTATTGGACAATTCTTCTCTGGGCCCCCAGAATTCAACCCAACCCATTCACTCAGAGTTCCCACACCCAACCCAGCCTATTTTCTGCGTGTAGAAGTGACATTATCATCACTTGCAGAGTTGAAATTCTCTTGAGGTCACTAGGTCGTTCTTCTTATCAAGCGAGAGACAGGCACCGGAGTTTTTAGAGAGAGATACCGATGGACAGAGAGTGGGGCTCCAAGCCTGGCAGCGGAGGCGCCGCCTCCGCCCAGAACGAAGCCATCGACCGCCGTGAGCGGCTGCGGAGACTCGCCCTAGAAACCATCGATCTCGCCAAAGATCCCTATTTCATGCGAAATCATCTCGGAAGGTCCTTTATTTCTCTATCTCTCTCTATGTGTGTGTTTTTTAGTGGATTTAATTAAATTTTTTTGTTGTTTGGTCTGTAGTTATGAATGCAAGCTTTGTCTGACATTGCACAACAACGAGGGGAATTATTTGGCGCATACACAAGGAAAGCGACACCAGACCAATTTGGCTAAAAGAGCGGCTCGCGAGGCGAAGGACGCCCCTATTCAGCCTCAACCTCACAAGCGAAAGGTCTATCTGAAGAAGTCAGGTAAAATCTTCATCTTTTTGTAAATATAGATTATAAATTTATCTTATACCATAATTTATAGTAGGCTTCCTAGGCATGGTTTGATGAGTTCAAGTGTTTATATTTTGCTACAATATACCATAATTTCAAGTAGGCTTGTTAACCCACCGTGTCATGAGTTGAAATATAACTAATACGGCTGGTGATAGTGCACATGTGGTCCGTAATGGGCACAATATGCTACTCTTGTTGTTACTCCGTGGAGCATTAGTGTGTGTAATTTGAAAATTTTGATTAGAGGTGGGAATAAATACTTTATTTGAGGGTCAAGTAAATGTCCAACTTTGGGAGCACACATGGGTAATTTAAATCTTTCAGTGATTTTGATTGTTGCCTTATTTTACCTAATTGTTGTTTTTCTCATGATCCATCGTCATATAAATTCACTGGACTTCTCAACACATGAAAAGATATCAACATCAAACAAGAACAATTAAAATTCAGTCTCAACGCATGAAAAGATATCAACATCAAACAAGAACAATTAAAATTCAGTTTGCTAAGTAGCTATGAATTTGCATTTATAGTTAACAATTCATAGTGATTGGATGGCAACTGGTTATTGTGAATGGGATTCTCCTCCTGTAATAGTTCACCATGATTCAACTATAGTGTCATGCGCTCATATGAATGATAACTGATTACTAAAACACCATCTCAACGGATAAATGGAATATGAATGGAGAGGAGGTATAAAATTATTTGAAATTTGAATATGATCTTATTATCAAAAAATATATATATCAACGATTAAGTGGCCAAGCCCTTAGGTAATGCAAATTTATTGTCTCAATTTTTTCATTATTGTACATATCCAAGCATGCATAAATAGTAAGGCAAAATAAATAAATCAAAGGACTTGCAACGAATATTGCAGTCACTCGTTCATGTTTTCTTCACATTATATCCAAAAGACATGGCATTCATGATTATGCTCTTGCAGAGTTAGTTGTCTATACCACCTTTAGCTCAAGATTTATCTCCCCCTTCCAAATGGAAGATTGAGGGAAGGGATGACACTGGGTGCATGTGTGTAACTTACATACCAAAAAATAAAATAAAATTTGTCAGTGGTCATCTTGGTTCTTATTGATTTTAGGTCTTGCCATGTTTTCTTCAGTAAAATGATGAGAGCTTTTTTATAGTTTGGTATACATATTATTCTGGATTTTTATTTAATAATTCTGGTGTATTTTTTAAAAAAAAATAAAAATTGTTAAAATTGGAAGTAGTTCTATTTATTTTTTGGTTTGTAAGTACTTGTAAAATAGTTTTTCTTTTTGCAGTAACAGTGGAGAGCAGACTGCAGAGGCTTTAGTACAAATTTATCATATTGTTCAGTGTATTTTTGTCTTCAAACTTCTATAAAGAACCTAAACTTAGTATTGTTTATAATGAGCTAGATGCTAGTTTTGTGGTAGCTAATCTGTTTTGTTGGTCCAACTATTTTTAATGACAGTACTTTTGACTCTCGTACTTCTTATGTTTAATAATACTGATGATGTAGCTTTCTTCCCATTCACTGAGAAATTGTCTAGCTATAAGGTCAGCACTCTGCTTTTTACTTCGTGTTTTGACATTTCTAATTTTTTTTCCTGGTGTCATTGCAGTCAAAATTGGTAGGCCTGGTTATCGGGTGACGAAACAATTTGATCCAGAGACAAAACAGAGGTCGCTTTTATTCCAGGTGCGAATTTATTTCATGACTTTCAAGTTTTATGACATAGTGCACCTAAAAAAAAGAGTTCACATGTACTCGATAGCTGGTTTATTTCAGAAGAGTTGCATATTGGACAGTTGTCAAACATATCCTCAAACAAACTAAAATGGGGATTTTTATGTTCCAAATGAGATGAGATAAAACTAAACGAACTTGATAATTTTAATTTTACCATATACATGTTGTCTTGGACTAGGTTGCTTAGATTTGGACTAGGTAAGATAGGTTCTGACAATAAAATATGGACTTTCCTATAGTTGTGAACACAAATAACTAATTATATAAAAGAAGAGCATGAGAAGGGGGAAAAATCCACGTAGAATTCCTTGGGAGCCACCCCAGAAGGTAAGGTAGCATCACACGTCAAACTATATCTTTGATTTTTTAGATCCCAGGTCTGTTGAATTAGGTATATTACAATAATTATTTGTACTCGTAGTTCTTGCACTTATACTAGGACTGAAACTTGAAAATAGGAAATTTGGTACTTTGACTACCCAAACTATAGTTGACTTACTAAGGACTCCACGTAATGACCTAATAGCATGACCCAAATGAGCTGAATCAGACCAGTAGGCCATTGCTGTTGATCACTTTTTGTTGCATTGCCCAGTGGCTTGGGGTTGCCGGAGTTTATTGCTGGGCTTGTTCAGGGTGCTGTGGGTTATGCCTCGCTCTTCACGAGGACTGATTGAGGCTTGGAAACGGTGTATAGTGGGTGCCCAAGCTCATGATTTTTGGAGGGCAGCGCCCTTGTGTGTTTGGTGGTGCTTATGGCTTGGACGTAATAGAAGATCTTTTGAGGGAGCAGAATCTTCTATTGGGTAGCTATCTCTCTTTCTTGTTGGGGTCTTGGGAAAAATTGTAAATCTATGGGGAAGATGTTGATTTTTTGAACTCTTTGAGAGTTTAGGAGCCCTATTAGGCCTTGTGTAGCTTTTGTGGGATGCGTTCCCGTTTGAACGCTTTCCATTACATCTTTACTTGTCAAAAAAAAGAAGCAGCAGCTTATTAGAGTATGAATAAAAGCAAACTAATAGCATACTTGTAAGAATAACATAAACTAAGAGACTATTTCATTATGGAAACCCCAAGGCGCGTGCCCCATGAAGTTCCCAAATTTGCCTCCTTTCTTGTCAACATGCTCTGCTTCATGAAGATTCCAGTTATAGATTATGCTGAGCTTGTTTTTTATGAGACCGTGTCTTCATAAGGTAAGTTAACAGAACAAAGTAACATTTATACAATTTCTTTGATGAACAAAAGTTCAATAGCAAAGTCAAAGAGGTTGCAACCCGATTACACTGGAAGCATACTAAAGAAAGACTAAACATTACAATCCAACCTATCTATGAAATCTAAGAAAATAGGGAGTTGTTCACTCTTCATGGTGAACTTAAAAAAAAAAAAATTGTTTCACCTTTTGTGTAAACCATTCACCTGTTCAAAACATTATGATTCTTCTCAAACCACAAGAGGCAAAAAATGAGCCGCTTCAACTATTATGCATCTTCTCTTTCCAACTTTCAGCCATTGAGTATCAACTACCATTCCACTGAAGACCCAACTCGCTCCCAAAACATCAACAGCATGAACTTTTAACAAAATCACTAACACGGTAACACCCTATGTCAAAGTTAGTACTGTTAACGTCTATTATAAAAGACAAAACATGACCTCAATTTTAATAAAGATATTACTTATCTCACTACTAATGTAAGCAAAGTAAAGTGGAAATTAAATTTAAATTTAGTATACATACATTATACATTACAATATATATACACATATATTGATAATTTTTCCACTATCAAACATTGGGAAAAGAAAGTAATATTAAACATCAAGCTATTTGTTGAACTGCTTCTTGGAAGACCAAATTTTAAAATTCAAAATCACTTGCTTGCACTGCTATATGGTCCAGAGATAGAGTCTTTCTATGATCATTGTGTAAATAGCACTGCACTCCCTCTCTATGATTTATTATTCCGAGGCAAAATTCCTTTTCGGTTCCTGGTTGTAAATAAAAATCATCATAGACACTGTTTTTTAATGCAAAAGTAGAAGCATGTTATATAATTTTCTGTTCACTATTATTTGCTTCTATTTTGTTGGGTTTTTGGGAGAAATTATAAATCCATGGTGGAGATTGTTGATTTTTTTGGACTCCTTGAGAGTTAAGAGGCCCTGTTTGGCCTTGTGTAGCTCTTTATGGGATGTGTTCCCCATTTGAACGCTATCTAATACAATCTTACTTATCAAAAAATATACTCCGTATATAATTTTCTGTTCGCTGGCAAAGGTCTTTTCAGTTCCAGTTAGTAGATACAAATCACCGTAGGATTTTTTGCACATACTTGGCATTAACAAATTGTGACTTCGATTTTTGGCAGATTGAATATCCTGAGATCGAAGATAATACAAAGCCGAGGCACCGCTTTATGTCATCCTATGAGCAGGTGGGCTAATTTCCAATTTAATCCTTAAAACTGTAGTTCTGATGGTGCACAGTGAGCTTTTTCCTCCGAATGGTCTTTTATTTTTTTTCGCACCTGGAAAGGATGGATTAAGTTAAAATTGCAACTTTACTTTTTTGCCAACCACATCAAAATCGTAATCTTTCATCATCTTTGACATTTTCCTGGGCAGAGGGTCCATACGTTTGATAAAAGATACCAGTATCTTCTGTTTGCAGCTGAACCGTATGAGATCATTTCTTTCAAGGTAAATCAATCATACAATTACATAAATGCTTACAAGCAGATTATATATATTTGGCTATTGTTGGGTAATCAATAGGTTTTTGGCTGTGCATATACATTTCAGGTTCCTAGCACAGAGATCGACAAATCCACTCCCAAGTTTTTCTCCCATTGGGATCCAGACTCGAAAATGTTCACGGTTAGTCTATGCACCCGACTTATACTACTGCTGCTTTTTTTAAGTTCTGATTTTGATTGTACTTGGGAACCAAGAGGTTTAATTTTGAGCCATGTTCTCCATTGTATGGGGTTCAACACTGTCCTGAGTTGTTCAACGACTCTCTTTGGACTGTGGACAAGAATACTTGGTTTCATTCATGAAAACCAAATCAGCTAATTAACTAGCAGTCCTCTTTTGGCCTGCACTCCCAGCAGATCAAAATAAGACATTGGACCCCTAGGCCTATCTGCTGGTTTGGATTGGTCCACCTTACCTCTCTGGTAGGGAGGGGTAGCCGCTGGTTTGTTTCTAATAATTAATGATCTTGTTTGTGAATTTTATCTGACGGGGGGTTATGTGGGATGAATCAATTTACAGTTGCAGTTGTACTTCAAAATCAAGCCACCAGAGGCAAACAAACCGCAGCCCACCCCTTCAGCCAATGGCTCAGCAGCTCCTTTGCCACCTCCGCCTCAAGCTCCACCGCCGCCACCCCCACCACCACAAGGACTCCCACCAGGAGCTCCAATGGGAAATCCTCCTAGAGCCCCGCCACCTCCTCCAATGGCGAATGGACCAAGGCCTATGCCTCCAGGTGGGAATCTACCTGCCCCTCCACCACCCACAGTTGGTAGTGGCTCAATGGCAAACTTCACTCCTGGCACTCAGATGGGAAGACCTCCAATGCCACCTCCACTAGGTTTTCCAGGACCACAAGTGCAGGGCCAGGGAGCACGCCCACCCCCACCACCTCCGAGCATGGGATAAGAGGTTCTATGCAGTGTCTTAGCACATCAGTAGATATGAATTGTATCTAGACACAATTTGACATAATCCACAAACCAGCTCATCATGTTGTTTAAATTGGGAAAGAGGCCTCAGTGGTGATTTAAGCAGTGGTTACACTTACTCATATGGAGATTTGCATCTCCAGTTATGATTCCTGTATGGTTTTTTTAACTTTTTGGTCCATGAATCTACCAGATATGAATATGGTAAGGTGCTAAAATCACAGATGCCGAAAGAGAACTGTTGGTATGCTGTCGAATCTGTGTTATATATATCTATATAATTTTGACATTCCATTTAATCCATTTATAGCTACAATTTAACCAAATAAAAGCATTAAAATGTGTTCATGGATTACCCAACTATTTATTGTTCTGCACCTGATAATGGTAAGGAGCTGGGGTTCCATTTCCCTTTTCATGGAAAGGATTAATTGCTAATTGTGCAGTGAGTAGCCAATTCTTAGAACGTGAAGCAGCACAAGAACAATTTTAATTTGCAGGATGCGTTTTCATCCGCACCAGCTATTTGACAGTCTTTTTCTGGGTATGCGTCGGACCTAAGTAAACAAATCCATGCACTTGGAGATTTGTAGTTCGACAATTGTTATGTTACCTCCCGATAATTCAAGGACAATTGGCACTATTTGTGTGACACTCCCACCTCCATTATGGCTTAACGGTCTCCAAACACATTTCAAGTCTTGAGTTATTCTACATACAACATGACTTCTTTGGTAGAGAGAAGCTCAGTGTCATTTTAACTTTTATCTCTTTACCATTTCCTTTTCCATTAAAACGACAGTTTCCTTTCGGGAAAGAGAAATGCATAGATGGTCCCAATAAATTGGTTACCCTCAAGAAATTATTACATAATCCCGGGACCCATGGTCCTGACCAGATCACTATCCAACACGTCAGCAAATGCCACATGCCCCACACAAAAGTCTACCAAGCACTGCCACAAATTCTAGAGTGCATCTCATCAAAACACCTTAATATTTTTGTCGACTATTTGCTTTAAAGTTGATATATATGAGAAAACAATTTCAATGGGAGGAAAACAAGGGGGTAAAAGAACTTAAAATCAAACTGCATGAACATATTGCCATAAAGCTAAACAATAACTCGGGGAAAAAATATTATTAGCCTGAGCATTTTTTTCATTGGCCCCAATAGCTAAAGCTAACTGTGTACTTCATAATACATACAACGTGAGATGTCTCCTCTCACTTAGTAAACATGGTATAAGAAACTCAGTTGCCTGTTCCAAAACCAAGAAAATTGCAGCCTTGGCAAAAGGGAAACTCTCACCGGAAGGAAAAGAGAATTTGAATATGGCATCCTTCTAACCTGCTATAACATTTGGAGGGAACACTTTCCGAATAAATTCTAAGAAGCGCTTGGAGTAAAATATAGGGTCCACGGCAGAGATGGACAGTGAATCAAATTGAATAGATTTGTATGCATGCTCAATCTTCTTAGTCATGTTGTACTCCTGCAATATGTCAATTATACCCAGGTATAATACAACGTCATATACCTGATGAAACATCTCTGTTTCCTCTTCCACTGGAATATGCTCTGCTCTTGCTGGCATGTTCACTCCGAGCTGAATTTGGAATCTGTGCTTAACCATAATAAAAAAGAGAATCAAATTTCAAATAATGGAACAGAAATCTAAATGTCTTAAAAAATTGGTGCACCGGAATGCCTTTTCTATGGTGAGTTCTTGAACATCTCTCTCCGTAGTAAGGTCGTTTTCTTTTGAAACTGCTGTGGTTAACTTAGGGCCGCCATGGGGTGGATGTTGGGGTTCAGATCTCATTGCTTCTAGGGGGAAAATGAGCTAAGGCAGTTTCCTTTCTAGATAGAATGTCATTTTGTTGTCATGTTCAATGTGAATCAATCATGTCAATCTGTGTGTTTGATGCTAGCTTTTTTATCCTTTCAGCTGTTCATCATTTTCTCAAGGGAAATACTTTCATGCTGCCAGTTCTTTTATGTCATTGATTTATACTGGTAGGGGTCAGTTCCATATCCTGCATCTGCTAGGGTGACTAACTTGTGTAAGGTCAAATAATGTTTTTTAAATGGACTTGACATGGCAAGAAATATACATGCTTCCATTGGAGGTTTGGTGCAAATTTAAAAAATAATCCTCATCTAGTTTAACAGATCATACCTTGCTGTACCAGGAAGAAGGAGATCCACTTCCTCATCACCAGTAGCAGATGATGCTCTCAACCGACTACCTCTGATATGAGGACCCACAACAACACTATTATCATCAGCTCCACGGGGGACCAAAACAAGGCCTTCTGGGTAATTTGAGATTTCATCCTCCACAGTCTCTGATTGAATCATCGTGCAACAGAATTTTAGAAACCAAACATGTCGCAATAGAAAATGCAGCCAGACATGTAGTAGATAGACAGAAGTGGTGAGTTCATATAGCTCAGAAAACTCAGCAAAGAAAATGTAAACATGGCCTTACATATTTAGCAATGGACCAAACTTGACCAGCATAATTGAAGGTCCAAAACATTTTAGCAGAAACAGCTGATCAAGGTCTAGACTCATTTACTAGGCTCTTAAAGCTCAAGGTAAGCCCTTCCAAACCGCTAATAACAAACAACAAACAGTTGGTCTAATGCTAGCCAGCCATCTCTTCGTGACGACTTGTTGAAAGGACAGGAGTTCAAGTCAACCATTTTATTTTAGGATGGAGAGGTAGTTATGAGCATGAAGCAACGTGCTTCATACTTCACACATGTTCAGTCATGAAGCCATGAGTTTACTCTAGGGAGCCGAATGTATAACCGGCACATTGCATCAGTACTGAATGTATGACTGGAAAACACTTAAAAGTCATGCTTTTGAGGGGTAATAATGTCACTTCTTTTACTAGAAGATTGGAATGAAATTTTGAGGGTACAAAATGAAATAATATAAAACGTTCATGGGAAGAACTTCATAAATATTAAATACATATATATAAATTAAAATTTGATTTTTTTTTTTTTTTTTTGAAGTGCCCAAGGTGGCCCCGTCCTTGCACATGTTCCCATAAAAGAACAGAAAAAATAAAAATACTCAAGAAAACTACCCGAAACAAGAATAGTTGAATTTCTAAAAGGCACAACAATATTGTTGGACAAGAAGATTACAGCTACTAAATAGACTAGCCATATGGAAACATATGGAAATTGGTTGTCATCAATTTTCCATTACGTCACTGTATAATAATAGTATCATAAACTGCTGAAACAAGTTAGAACTTAGTCTTTAAATATCCTGGCTATTTCTACATTTACAGTTCCTTTATTCCATGTGACTGGCAGCTCAAGTTATACATGCATCTTCCAATTTGATACTCTGGAAATCAAGGCAAGCTCATTATAAATCACTAACAACAAATCAGTTGTTCAATATGAAACCCACCTTCTTCTGCAACAATTCCCAATCCATCTGCTCTGAAACTTCCACCGTAAGAAATGAGAGGTCGAAGGTGTTTGGGGGCTCGATAATGAACACCAAGCAAAAGGCTGTAATCCATAATGTTCTGTGCTTCCAAGAACTTGCTATCAATTTCAATCTGCCTGCACAAAGAAAGATTGGGTAGATTAATAAGCAGAAAACATATAAATGGACTATAAGGTCAAACTAGAGTATGTTAATTACACTTTGGGGCTTATGGAAACCACATGGAAATGGAACAATTTCAAAAAAAAAAATTCCCCAGAAATCGGATAAATTTATTTATACTTCTCAAAGCACCGATATGCTTATTTGTTCTTCTTTGCACCCATATGAAATAATATCAATAAGGACTACTAAATACAGCTTTAAATTGTTATGGTTTTCTGGAATTTGGAAAACCAAATTAAACATGAAGAAATTGAGATTTTAAACCAAATTATAGTATCATCTCCATGGCATCCCTAATGCCCAAAAATAGCTACCTATGAAACTCAAAACAGTTCAGAAATGACCGACATGTCCATGAAAACATGCATGGATGAAGTTTTCCATTATTGATCGAAAGTTGACATGAGAGTGGTATCAAAATATCATTCATGCAATTTCAAAGTTCTTCCAACAGTCGAATGCTAAAGAAATGAATAATGATAACAAAGAGTAAAATGCACAATTTTGCTGAATGGTAATTCATTTGACTTTCTTCTCATTCAAGTAAAGCTCACGGAATCTGATGTAGCATACAGCACTGCCCTATGTTTGAAGGATACTCGGGTCCTTTCATCCTAATAAATCGCTTCTAATCTGGAAGTATCTCTAAACCCAGATTTTTTCCATCTTGAAATAAAATCAGAGACTTCATACGACAAAAATTATAATATTTGCATGTGTCTCCATTCAGCTCAATCAAAATATCACAAACTTCATACCAAATCAGTGGACTACAGATTATGCGAACTCCAAAAAGTGTGTCATTTGCAAGGAAATCACAGTTAAAGAACCACTTACTTTAATAGAGCCTCTCGCCAAGACGGTTCTAGATAAAAGCAATAGTTTAGATCCAGATCTTTAAGTATTGTGTTCTCGTCAATTTTAACCTTGTCGGCAGAACGCCCTAGGGAGGAACCTTTCAAATCAAATCTGCGATGGATCCTTAATTCCGTGCAGAACATATTTCCCATTACTACAAAGCGAAACTGCAACCAAGGAATCAATTTACAAATATTAAAATGTATTGGACTAAGGAATTCCACTTATTGAAAGACTTCAATGAAAACAATAACAATGTAAAAGAAAAGGCAAACATAAATATAGTGCCCCGATCAATGTGAAAGAGAAGAAGACTTTTCATCAGCCAGGAGATATGTTTATAATACATTCAGCCCTTTGCTAAGAGATTACTGACTTGTAACAATTAACTATGACCGGTTACATGGAAAGGGTTCTGTGTGACAATAAGGTTGTAATTTACCAGCATTCATTACCTTTTGGCCACTAGAAGGTTTGATCCTGTGAAGACCAAAAAATTTAGTAATGAGTGTGTTCTCGTATGTCCGAACGTGAAGGTGATAGTCTGGAAGCATCCGCAAAAGAACCTACACATAAGAACTTTAATCACTTGAATGTTAACCAAAAAAAAAAAAAAAGGAGGAAAAGTAGAAACTTTATGAATAGAAGTTGTGTTCTGACACTACAGAACTTGACTGATAGATGTAACAGAACTATATAACTAAAATGCACGTTGAACATATTATGTGTCACAGGGTTGACAAGTAGATTGAATTGGGGAGAGCACAAACTGAAGTTCTAAAGCAAACTTAAGCCCAAAAGAATCCTCTTGTATATTTGGATGATCACCAGCAAAACAAGTAAAGAGACTCGACACCACGCTTCAACCACCACCGCTGGCAACTTTGTCCAATATAAATCAACAGCAAAACAAGACGAACGCCCTTCACTGCCACACCATCTCCTCTGGCGAAAGATCGCGCGAGCGCAATCACCAGTGACTATTGAGCCCTCGTTCTTCTCTACAAACAACAACATCATCAACCAAGCCTTTTCCCAACTACTTGGGGTCAGCTACACGAATCTTATGTTTCAATTCCACTCTAGTTAAGGCCATGGCCTCAATCAATCCACATTACTCAAATAAATCTCCACGTTTTTGGCCACATTATACAACTAAACTTTGTTTACAAAAATATTGATTTAGAGAAAGAAAAAATATATACATAGAAGAACTCGAGCTCGAGCCAAGCCTAAACATTACTTTAAGTTTGACAACCCAAGCCCGAACATACCAAAGCTCGGCTCAGCTAGATTCATTAACAGCCCTACTGACTATAACCTTATTATTTATAAGTAATGTAGGAGACCCATGTAGTATGGTAAGTAAAATCCTTTTAGAAATATGACTTGAGAGAGTCTCCAAAAATATATTTTTGCAGGATTCGATTGATCGAGCACCACTGGACAAGCTTATCTCGAGAGAGAGGTCAATGCTCACTGTTTTGTAAAAAATCATGTTTTGAAAATCATTTTAAAATCATTTATCAAAAACCCCAATTTTGATAAAAAGGATTAAAACAATATTTTGAGCCTTCTAAAGATCATGCCTAGGTCATAATTGGTCTTTATGGTCTTAACTTACCTTAACCTAGCTATGTGATTGAGCCTAAAGAGACTTGCGATGTGTTCTTCATTAAGCTTCATCTCTATCATGTTTTGATGTTGTAGACCAACAACTCAAGCTTTGATACAAATTACAATCCATGTTTTCGGTAGAAAATTCAACACATGACTCTTATACCTAAAACTGAAAACTAATACGACCACTTCAATTTAAGATTCTATGAATCCCATCTAAATGCAGCCAGCATCCTTTCAACTGGCACGTGTCAATTACAAAGAAGATTTATATACTTATTCCTCTTCATTTATTCAATCATTTTGCTAAAGGGCATATGCCACAGTAGCAACCAGAGGATGCAAAAACAACGTTAAGCAGTTCCTAGATTCAGTATGCCAATTTGCATAGTTCATGTCCTCTTGGGCATTAGTAGACCAGTATTCCTTGTAACCACACTAGCAACTGCCCAAAGAAATAGCCTTAAAGAAAAGGTTGTGACTAGGTTTTTCCCACATAGAATGAAAAGTGAGAAGTACATGCCATCCTTCAAAAAAAATGGATATCAGGCTTACCTCCAATTTGCCTCATGGTCGGCAGATCTCTACAGACTACATTATATATGTAAGAGAGGGATCTGTTTATATGTGGTATAAGGTTTATTAGTCTTACACTCTTGATAAGGTAGTGAGATATATTTTTTCAAACCCGCCGTTAGATTAAATGCTCCCCCCATTGCTGTTGTGCTTGCCCAATTTGGGTCAATAGGTGACTAAGAGAGAACCCATCCATATGGTGCTGAAAATTATAACTATAATGTATAATGAAAATTGAGTGTATGGATTGTTGGAATAAAATTGACTTCAGGAAAAAATAAAAATTTGAGTCCACTTGGATTAAATGCACATTATATCTGATTGACATGAAATTTGGTAAGCACGATGGGTGAAAGAACAGTTAATCTGATAAATGAGTCCCGGAAAAAAGTTACTGGGCGTGTAAGAATAAAAATTCTTAAAGTAGGTGTAAACAGATTAAAATAAATGTCTAAAAATAACAAGTCGAGACAAAAAAAAGGCATCGTGAAATGACTGGTTCAAAGGGTCATTTCTGACATCGCCACACTAATCTAAATATCAAGGGGTGTGCCATAAGTCAAGGACAATTATCACTAATCCAACTTTCTCAAAAGCATAATTATCACCAACCCTTTTTCTAACATGGACAACTGGATTTATGGCACACGCCTTTTGAGGTCTGGAAGACATTTTGCACCCTTCCTCCTGTATTTCTTCACTCATTCACCTTCTATCTGTGTCTGGTTTTCTATGCTGAAGAACCCCATCGGAGTTCTCTCTCTCGTAGCTAAGAACTTAAAAATCAAGCATGACTATTCTACTATATGAACGTGATATGAAATAAGTATCTGTTGTCGTACAAGAATTTGATAGCAACATCCTTAACTTTTCAACCCTCAAAACCTCTCAAATAGAGAGACGGGGGGAACAAAAAAAGAACGAATTCAAACACATGTTAAAAAGCAACGTACAAATTGAGATTTCTCACCTTTACTTCAGATTTTTTAAGTGTCTTAATCATGAAACGATCATCTTGAGATAGAAAAAACACACTACCACTTTTCCCAGGGGAAGAAAGTTCCCTAAGAGCATCATTTCCACAAATGGACATCATGTAATCAGCAGCATCAATCTTAAACATCTCCCTCAAATTCCTAAAACAAGAGCAAATGAGATTTTTCAGCTTTGACAGAACATAACTTCAGATAAAATAAATCAATACTAAAATCTGAACCAAAAAAAAAAAGGTAGAGGCATTTACAGCGTCCATGAACATTTTTTTGTAAAGAACCTTAATGTCCAGACATAAAAATCTCCTGTAAAAGGGAGAAGCATATATTTGACCTCTGTGACATATCCAAAGGGATGACAACAGAAAATTTTGTTCCAAGTAGGAGCACCAATTATGCTATGATTAAATATTTTGAAGAATTTCTTTATATAAATACTATAGTTGCAACAAAAAAGTACCTGTTGAGCATGCAAAGAACTTATTTTAATATAGGAGGACTGGAAAGGAAAATGGAATCAATTAACATCAGGAAGTCTAAATAAATATTTAATTGCCTAATTTCAAATTCTCAACATGTGCCCTGTGCACAATGCAAATAAAACAATGATCCCACCATGGAACTTGAAAAAAAGTGGCTACTGGATCTCAGTAACATATGAAATTGACTACTGACTAGTAAGGATATTGACTACTGACTAGTATGAAATTGAAATTGAAATTGACTACTGACTAGTAAGGATCTTTAGAGGAGATTGTTGATTTTTAGGCCTCTTTGAAGGCTTAGAGGCTCTTTTTGGCCTTGTGTATTTCTCTTGGGTTTCGCTCCCCTTTTGAGCGCTTTTTATACAATTTTACTTATCAAAAAAAAAAAAAAAAAAAGGATATTGACACACTCAAGATAGGAAGAGGAACCGCCAGAAAGTACGACTAGCTACTAAACCACAGGCACCCTCATAAAAATGCGAATATTAAAATTAAACAGAAACAGTAGTTCAACCAAGTTTAAAATTCTAAATCTTATAGCATAACAGAGCACGTGGAGGCACATCTAGCCTTTAGCCTCTACTTGCAGTTGTGGACCACTTATAGTTATTAGTGCAACAAGGAAGCAAGCCAAGCCTCACGTACTAATGCAATCACACAGCAAAGATGTAGAAGCAGCGGCAAAGCCAATATTTTGCTCAGAGGGAAAGAAGAACAACTGGCAAGCAAATAGGGAATCATTCAATCAATAATCTGAACAATTAGAATTCCTGCTACTATCATAAAAGGTATTAACTACTTTGTTCCACACTAATAGAGGGTGTGTGTGTTGGGGTGGGGGTGGTGGGGTGTGGTTGAACAGGATATAGACTTAATCTTTGACATTATTTGCATAAAATGACTGCCACATACTTGAACTCACATTATCACACTCAGCAGTCCAAGCTTTTACCAGTATACCAAGTAATGGCCCTTACTCAAAGTTCGAACTTTTGCCACTATACCAAAGATGGACCATCACCCACCTTAGGCTCTGATACATCACATTACACACATTCTAAAATAGACCTAGAGGGAGAGGGGGTGAAGAAGTCTTCAAAACTTCTTAATAGTCAATAACAACTTTTCAAAATTTACTTTGAACCTCCACCTTTGACTTTAAATATGTTGATTTGCATAGAACATGTTATATAGCAGTAGTTAGTCTTTCACCATTCTAAAAGTAATTCCATGAAAATCTGTGCTTCGTTCCCTGAACTTCTATTGCTTGCTCTAAACTGGCTTTTTAGGTTAGCCACCATCTGCCCAAAAACCTTAAGCGGTTAGGGAGAGTATAACTTAATTATTTATAACCTCTAACACGCTCCATCATGTGTCCAAATTTCGCCCCAGCACATTATCAATTATAATTATGTGGGTGGCGATAGAGATGTGAACTAGAGACCTTTCTTACCTTGATAACATGCTATCCATCATCTACTCTAAAAGTGTAAGGTGTTAAAGGGTGTAACTTAATTATTTATTTCCTCTAACAATTACCACTTATTCAATTTTTGTGTGCAATAGCAACAAAATATATATTTTTAGATATCTCCCTAATTTTCCTCAATATTACCATTTTTTACTCAATAGGTCTGGATATCACTCCCATTGATGTGACACACTATCAACTTTATAAGCCAGAAGCTAAATGCAAGCTATAACCCATGATGCAAACTTCAACAACAACTTCAAAGAAAACATTTACACTTTAATCTTTCTCCATTTTTCAAAAACATATACCATGAAAATGCATGGCTTTGTTCCCTAAATTTCTATAGCTTGTCCATCCTAGCTCTTTACCACTAGTTCAATTTTTGGGAAATAGCTACAAAATAATGTTTTCTAGATATCTCCCTCACTTCCCTTGATTTTACCATTTTTTTACTTAATAAATCTGGAGATAGCTCCCATCGATACGAAACATAATCAACTTCAAAAGGCCAGAAGCTAAAAGCAAGTTGTTCCCCATAATGCACAAAAAAGACACAAACTCGAGCCAATCCATTCACCACTTATGATTTTAAACATATTAGAGGATATTCTTAAGGATTTGTTAGATCAATAGGACTATGTTGGAAAATTTCGTAGATCAAAACTTGAGTCCGTTCTTTTGTTTTCATTTCTAGCATAGTTTAGAAATTGTGCAAAGGTTAGTGTAGTTGACTCCCATGATCGAATATGGAATTCACACTACAACCACGGGTATTTTGGTAATCTTCATCAACAAGGGTAAAAAGGGTAAATTGACACAATGATATACTCACCATTTAGAGTTCATGCATTTCATAATTAGGGTTTCTAAATGATCATAATTTAAATTGATCTTGATTCCCTAAACTCTCTTCTTGGTTTTGAAATCTACAAAAACCTACTCTCCCACTACTACTTGGTTCCCTATATATATATATACCTAAAGCTAGGGCAGACCTTTGTGGGTGGCATGGTTTAAAAGGAGATATTCTGCAGACTACTGGTCTGCAACTGCTGCAAGCTCTCATTCAGCTTTCTGGAAAAATATGCTGCAAGTTAGGTAGTTCATGGCTCCAATCACTTTTAAAATTTGGAAATGGAACTAGAACCAGATTGTTTATTGATCCTTGGTGCCAAGGACAAACCTTTCTGCAAAGGTTCTCCCACAGAATCAAAAGCGAGTCTAATCTCCCTAGAACTGCATTAATTTCTTCTCTGATTAGAAACGGTGCTTGGAACTTGCCTGTACCCTCATCCTCTACTATTCAACAGGTTACTAAGTTCATCTTATCCATCAGAATTTATAATGGTGATGATCAGATTTTATGGAAGGATGGCCAGTTTGATTTTAAATCAGTTTGGGATGTATGGAGAACTAATAGACCTAAGGTGAACTGGTATTCTCTCAGTTGGACTGGTAGTAGACCTAGGGTCTCTACCACTTGCTGCATTATTTTTCATGATAACCATTTATCTTTGTGCAATCTGAGGCTTAGAGGCTCGATGCTCACTTCCATCTGTCATCTCTGCTTTTCTGCTGAAGACTTTCTAAATCACTTATTTGTGTGTTGTCAGTTTGCAAAGGATCTTTGAAGGTGGTTTACTGAGTTATTTAATTGGAATATGCCAGTTTTTAATCAATTTCATCAGTTGTGATTGGTTTTCTGTTACATTCAGTTCTACATCCTTAAGACATAAGACGCATAGAAGACCATTTTCTACTGCTCTTTGGTTCATTTGGAATGAAAGGAACATGAGATACCATCAAGGAGTGTCTAGAAGCTCGCATGAGGTTGCCCAGCTGATCTGGTTGTAAGCGTTTACAATCTCTGGTCTGTCCATGAATGATATTTCCCTATTCTGCCAAGTTAAGCTACTGGAGTATCTTCTGATGTTGCTGCTGTTTTGGCTGCTTTGTTCTGTTTTCAATTTGTTTTTGCTGATGTCTTGAGTTGCTAAGTCTGTTTAGCTCACTTGATGTTGTTTTTGTTTTCTGCAAAGGTATGCCCTTGCTTATGCTCTGTATCTTATTGTTCATATCAATATATTTTTCCACTTACCTAGGGAAAACAAACAAAAAAAAAAAAAAAATAGCTAGGGCAGACCTATACACGCATACATATTCAACACATGAATGAGAGCAGTTTATTTTGTGAGTGCATATCTCTCTTTTACATTCATCCTACTCAGTTTGGTGAGTGTATTCATATGTATTTACATCCACTGTTGTGTACTCAAAAGATCAGTTCAGTCCACAACCAGATCAACACCTAGATGACTGGTGGCTGAGACTGGATTCAATAGAGCAGCAGGTTCGTGAGGAGCAGATTTGTTGGCGAGTGGAAGAACTGTTTGGAGACTTTTCAGAGAAAAAATGTGGGTCATCTGTGTCAAGGAGGTAACTAGGCGATTCTTGGGGTAGAGTCATTCAAACCTAGCTTGTAAACCTTCATTCTGGATAGTGGATTTGGTCTTGCTTGAATTAGGTCCCTTGATTTTTTCTTTTCTAGTGTTTTTCACATAAAAATGGGCTGCCTACTATTTATTGCTTTATTGCTTTAAATTGTTGTGGATTGCATATGATTTTACTATTTGTTAAATTTCAGTTTTAAAATTATCAATAATTATGTTCTGCATTTTTAAAAAAGTGAAAACAGCTAGTCAGTTCTACGAGACCTATTCAACCCCACTCAGCCCCGCCCCCCCTCCCTCCCTCCTCTTTCTTATAAGTCTATATCAATGGACCTCGCACCTCGACTTCGATCATCAGTACTTCGTCAGGGTTCAAGCTAGCAGACTAGCACATCTTCCTTCTTGTTGACAACCTGGACCGGTGTTAGAAGTGTGTTCGATTGATTCAATATCGATGAATCTAGAAAAGAGGCTTAATAACAAAAAGTCTCATCATTGTTCTTACCTCTGTTGCATTGAAACTGGTGCAGGAATTGGAATTTGCCATGATTTGTTAGAGTTTAAAATTTTGAAGATTCAAAACATAGGCTCATCGACTATGTGGTGTTAAATAATATGGTAGACTATATACCCAAAAAAAAATAGAGCATTAACAATACAAACCAGCATTCTATATGCAAAATGAAAGACTTAATGAGTTTCATAATATTGAGCTCATAGTAACTAGCAAGTTTTGCACATGTATGCATACTTTCACAGTAGCATAAACATTACTCCTTAGAAGAGAGCATGAAATTTTGCGAAGATCGTTAGATATAGATGTCAACCATAAGTCCAACAAATATCCAGCATGTCTACCTACAGTCATATTTACAGGAGACATGCAATGCGAGTTCTCATTGAATGAGAAACCAGTAGGAGGAGAACTGCTACAATGAACTAGTTATTCCCTCAAAACTTCGGCTGTCATGGTTTGCAAGTAAAACTGACTGTACAAGTAGCAAACTGGAATATGATTCACAAGTATACCAAGCAATTGGACAGTAAAACTGACTGCATGCACAAATTATAGAGCTGTCAAAGAGTAAAAGTCAGCTACGAACCTGAAAACCATTGGACAGTAATCTTTCCACTTAAAATCCTCTGACTGATGAGGCGGAGTCAATTGAGACCCTTCTTTAGGAAAATTCATCCAAAAGCTGGCTCGCGGGCCAAAATCTGAAGCTCGTACTTCCCGCCTTTGTATGGGTGTAATTTTCCCCACAGTATATCTGATCACATTCTAATGCATTTTCAGTATTTCTCTATCCAAAAGATATGCCAAGTATGAGATAACAATCCGGACAATGTTAACATTTCTGCTGCAACAAATGAAATAAGTAACTTCGAGCAATCTTCACAGGAACTATACATAGAAAACCATGGCATCTAAATTGTCCACAATCAAATATGAAACAATATACGCAAAAATTCAGTAAGTATAGGGTAGAAATGAATTTTTTTGTTGTTGTTGGTCTTGGACCAAAATAGAAAAGGGACAGGCATGGTACATGCTAGTAGGTGGTAGAAAACCTCTTCACATAATTCCCTCATAGTTTTCTCCATGGCCATAATTAAAAACAATGTTAGAGAGATAGAAAGAGGAGAGAAATTCATTGTTTGACTCCAAGTCTGTAACATTTCTCGTCTTCCTCTGTCTCTTCCCCTTCCCTTGCTTCTTCTTCACCCGATTGGTATCTCCAAAAGTTATTAATTGGTTGCAATATGGTTTCTGGGGAGGTAGACATAATTTATATTGACCTTGAGTCCATAGATTGAATATATAATGGCTGACAACTTGACATATAATTGTGACATGATCATAAAACAAGATTCTCTTTGCAAGGAATATTTCTGTAATGAATGCAATAAACTATTCCATTCTATTTTTCTTTTTCGTCCAAGTGTGATTTGGCTTTTATACTTCCATAAACCAGAAGGATTTAATCTCATAGTGGTCCCCAATGTTCGGCTCCATTAGAAGAGCAAAACATTGCATGAACTTCTATGCTTTGCCATTATAATTTATTACTTGATTCCGGTTCCTAGTTGATTATTCTTATTCGAATGTCAAATTTCAAAACCTGAATATATTTGTAACCTCTTTTGACACCATCAGGTTTCACGATCAGAAAAAACATCTTGTCTCATTGTCTACAAGGTAAAGTCCTTATCTACGAAGCACAAACACTTCTATGAAGGAGCCCTGTCCGGCACCACGTCGTTACTCTGTCCATTATTTATAAAAAAAAAAATTATTATTTTGGACACTTGACCGACACATCTTGAACCCTTGGTCGACACATCTCGGACACTTGGTGAACACATTTCGAACACTCAACCAACACATCCTACACTCTTTGTGTTATGTAAAACAAACACCCGACAATCCTGAAAACTATACATTATGAATATAAATCAAAGTGTCCAACCTCTAAAAGAACAAAATATCATTACAATGACAAGATAGGATAGCAGTATCATGTATAATATAACATATTCTTTTTATATTAGAATAATGTCATCTTTTAACTCATATCGCTTTAGAATAGAAAATTATAAATTAATTGAAGTTCTATGATTGTCTCATTCAGACACATAAATGAATTTTTTTATTTATATTAGTCGTGTCCACGCCGTGTCCGTGTCTTACTTTTTTACAATTTGATGCGGCGGCATATATGTGTCGTATCATGTCTGTGTCCCGTGTCCGTAACCATGCTTCTTTGGTCCTTAAAATAATTGTTAAGGCAGACAAACTCACAAGCACAACTAGAGAAATTGCTTGTTAAGCAAAAATTCAAATAAGAAGTCGAGACTCGAGCCTCAAATAATTATAAAATAATTTAGAAAACAAGAAGAGATTCTCGCACTCAATGATTTTATGGTGATTCCTTCAAGATGAATAACATCGACAATAACAACATCAGTAGTCACAATGATGATGATAACAACATTAACAATACGAGTATAGAATTATCACAAAATATGCGCAATAATGCTTACATAACATGGAGATAACATAAAAGATCCTGTGATTTATTAAGGAAATAACTGATGCAGACTTGCAGTTATAGCAGGATAACATAAATGTAGTCGAGAAAGTTTACCTGATTCCAAGCTGCAAACTGAGCATTAAATCATAACTCCTGTGACCTTTAATGATAGCTTCACCAGGCCTATTTACCTCCTTTGCAAGTTTCTTTTGCAGCCTTTTTGCTCTTTTAGACGAAAAACTATTATCTAACACAAGCTCACTAATTAAAACACCTTGCATATATTCTCGTTCCAGAATTGGAGCATTTGCTTTGGCCTCATTTTCTTCGCCTTTAAAAAAAGTCTCAGATGAACCCATTGATACATCATGTCCAATTACTTTTTCAATAGATACCTCAAGACTCCAGCGTCTTTCTAGGGAAACATTTGTGGTGCGAGACCGCTCCAGATTCAACAGGTTCCCGTTGGAGAGCTTATCAGTTGAATTACGATGAGAACGTGGGTTCCCACCAACCTTGACATTTCCCATATCAACTGAAGAAGCACGATGAATATGTGAAACTTGATTATGCCTTCTTAAATCTGGCAGCAGCCCTCGTTTTCTGAGGGCATTAAGGTACACTTCTTGTACAGCTGGGATCCTGCTTCCATTTGGATAAAATGCACCTTTTCCATCCTTCAAACCCCGTGTCCAAGTTCCAACATAGCAGCCACCATCATTCCATGTATATATTCCAAATCCATGCATCATGCCATTTAACCAACTTCCTTCATATGAGTCCCCGGTGGTCCAAGTAAGAGTTCCTTTCCCTGACATTTTTCCTCCTTTCATATTTCCCAAATAAACATTTCCATTAGCCCAGGTATACTTACCAGGCCCTTCTGGGGTTCCCTGAATCCAAGATCCTTCAAAGACATCCCCATTAGGATAAACTTGATATCCTAGCCCATGTTTGAGATTCAACCTCCATCGTCCCTTATATGTCATATTATCAGGCCTGATATATGTCCCTGTACCTTGAATATAACCACCTGAAAATTCACCATCATAAACTGCTCCAGAAGGCCATTGAAGTTTGCCACATCCATGCCTCATCCCCCGTCTCCATTCACCCTCATATTTGCAACCATCTGACCACACATACGTCCCTGAACCCTCAGGTAAGTTGCCAAGCAATGACCCAGAAAAAGATTCCCCATTAGACAGTAAAAGCTCTCCAACTCTAAAGCCAGTGGTTTCAGAAGAAGTACGAGCAACTTCCCCATTGCTCAGTGTGGTTAAGTGGTCTTTGTCATTCAAGGAAATGGCATCAAGAGATTTTGTCCTTTCTGAGAAAGAAAGTGCTCCTCCGACGTCATCAACAATGGCCAGAGAGCCAGACATGCATAATGCCGAAAAGGTTTCAGTTCAATAAAAGATAGTGACTGTCCAAAATGTTTCATCAGCTATAAGACAATAGGGATGCCATACAAATACACAAGATGGAACAGTTCTATTACCCTGGAAACTCCTTGTTCTTTGACCTATTATTAGAGAGAACATAGTCAAAACCACAAGTCATAGATGTAAAAAATTGAAACTTCCTCCTTTACTAATACAATTAATAAAAATTGCAAGTTGTAAGTCATGATAGGAGAGCAGCGAACATCAGTCAAAAAGTTAAGAACATACCACACAATAAAAACAAATGCAGACGCCACAACTTTCATAATCCAAACACTGGATTGTTCACAGATTCCCGAAAAAAAATAAAAAATAAATAATTAATTATGGAAATTTCAATTGTCACTAAAATAATTCAACCAACATAGTTGACATAAACAGATAAACTGTATACAGGGAAGAACAGCAAGGACAGTCAGGATTAATTGCAGGAAAGGCCATTTTAGAGTGAACCGCAAACACTTTAAACATCTACAGTTCTCCTATATAAAGCTTCAATAAAATATATATACACATATATATGCATATATATATATATATACCAAATGGAAAAATTAAATAATGAGAAGGGGACTATCCCCATTAGACAGTAAGAGCTATCCAACTCTAAAGTCCGTAGTTTCAAAAGTACGATCAACTTCTCCATCTGTCAGTATAGTTGGGTGGTCTTTATCATCAACATAACGGCATCATGAGATTTATGTCCTTTCTGACATAGGAAGTGTTCCTCCCACACCATTAACAGCACATGGCAAGACATGAATAATGCCCAAAAGTTTAAATATTTAAGAGATAGAGACTGTCCCAGATGTTCGAATGAGATATAAGACAACACGGATATCATGCCATACAAAAACACCAAATGAAACTGTTCTAATGCCATGAGAACTCCTTGTAATATCTCTCTCTCTCTCTCACACACACAATGCAATAATAGATTAAATAGATGAAACATCCTCCTTTCCTCAATACAACTAACACAAATTGCAAACTGCAAGTCATGATAAGGTGAGCAGTCAACAGCAGTCAAAGGTGAAGAACATTCCAAACCAAAAAAAACAAAACAGTGACATCTGAAAACACATTTCTCATATTCCTTGTCCTGGATTTTGCACAAAAACCATAACTGACAAAAACCATAAGACTGGGGAGAACAACAAGGGCCGTTAAGAACTGAAGGAAGGTCAATTTAGTGAGAGAAACGATCACGCTTAACATATATGACTCTCCCAACTACAGGTTCAAAACAGATAAATAAATAAGAAGAAAGGGATAAGCTAATGATTCTAATGGAAAGCTAATGTATTGTTATCCAATATATCAAAGAAATGGCTTGTCTTATGACAGGGAATGACTTTTATCAACCACTTAATTACACCTAACTACAAAAAAAAAAAAAAAAATTAATTAATTAATTAAAGCTGAAGTCTTCAATTACTTTCAAAAGCTTTTGGGTACTGAAAATCAAAGCATATGCAGGGAATTGGAGGAAAACTCAATGTAAGTGCGTGAATTGGTGAACATCTTTTTGCTTGTCTAGAATGTAGAGCTTTTCTTGCTTGCTTTTCTAGATTGTTTAGAATATATATATATATATATATATATATATATATATATATATATAAGCAAGTAAAATGTATAAAAAGCGCTCAAAAAGACCAAAAAGACCTCTTAACTTTCAAGGAGTCCACAAAATCTCAATCTCCTCTAAATATCTATAATTTCTCCTCATGACCCAAAGAGTAGAAATAATAGAGAACTTAAGCATGGAGATAGGAGTTTCCTTTCCTTCAAAGGATCTCTTGTTTCTTTCAAGCCAAAGACACCACCAGACACACAATGGCGTAACCCTCCAAACATCCCGGACTTGGGCCCCCACTATGCGACCTCTCCAAGCCTCAATCAACCCTCTGGAGGACCTTGGCATAACCCACTGAACACCAAACAAACCAAGCATCAAATCCCAACACTCCCTAGCCATGGTGCAATGCAAGAAAAGGTGATCCACCATCTCCTCATCTCTATGACACATGTAGCAACAATTGACCACAACCTGATTCCTTATCCTCAAATTATCCTAAGTCAAAATCTTCCCCAAAACAGATGTCCAAGCAAAGAAGGACACCTTTAAGGGGGCTTTGGAGCTCCAAACAGCCTTCCCCCGAATCCCTTCATGAAACATCTATAGAAGGACCGAACAATAAAAGTGACCCTGAGAAGTAGGGACCCACAACCATCCATCAGAATCTCCACTCATGATCTCCTGGAGATAAAGTAACTCCAAAAGACCAATAGCGTCCTCAATCTCCCAATCTTGAAAGTGCCTCATGAAACGAACATCCCAAGACGATCTTCCGCCATCAAGACGATAACAGTCAACCACTATGGCCTGCCTATCCGTAGCAATCCTGAAAAGCCAAGGGAAATAAAGAGCAAGCGAGCGGTCACCACACTAAACGTCCTCCCAGAAACTGATCCTCCTACCATCCCTAAGCCGAAATTTGATGCGTTTCGAAAAAAAATCCCATCCTTTCTGAATGAATTTCCAAACACCAACTCCCCCTGGGGTACACACCTCAAGGGAACTCCAACCTCCTCTCCCCTCCCCAAATCTACTCGCAATCACCCTCCTCCAAAGCCTATGTCTCTCCACCCCAAATCTCCAAAGCCACTCCTCTCTTCCCAAAAGTAAGTGTGTGAATATTTTCTCTCCTTGCAATTCTTAGTATAAAAAACTGTCTTCTTGATTTTAAGCTCATCAATCACTATCACAACCCTTGATTAGTTCAATGGAATGTGTTTATTTTTCTATTTTTTTCACTCTATATTAGAGTATCCAATATTGGGCAAGGAGGGTCTCTTAATCCTTCTTTTTCTTTTCATGGGAGTTATTTCACATAGATTTGCCAGGAATCAAATTTCACTAGCTATTGTTTGGGGAAAAAGAAAAAATAAAATATCTCATTAAGTTACATAGCCAAGATCATTGCAGCTAGGTGCAACATGTGGTATCATCTCTGACCTCTTTCTTGAAGCATTTGTGGCAGTGGAGGCACAAAAGGCCTAATAATGTTTTTCTTAACACCCAAAGGTAATCTTACAAATACTGCAGGGGACCTTACCATGGATCAAATCCAAAGCTCTAATCACTCAAGATTAAGAATTCAGGTCTACCATATTCAAGCAACTACTTTGCAGAACAAGTGCCTATAGCATCTAATCACTTCATAAACTTCAAGTATCCAGAGTTCCAGACACCCAATCCGGCAAACAATGGGATTCTTTGTACAGCTAATTACAGAGTCAATGTGAAAACCACATGTAAAATAGCATATCGAATGACAAGGCCCACCCTTCTAAAATCAATTACATGAAGGGCTCTGCAGCCTACTTTTACAGCTCTTCATATAAGCTCCAAACCCGTCCAACTCAATGTCTGCATCCAGATTGGCTCTTCACTATGCAGGAAACAACTGCATGCTTTAATTATTTATATATGATAATATAGCAAGGACTAACATCCAGTAGTGTGCACCATGAAGTAACTAAATAGGAAGGATTATCACAGTTGGATTTGTTTCTGGTAGTTAGCTAAATTTCAATAAGGCTAACTAATAGGTAGGAACTGCAAAATGTGACTGCTATGCTGAAATTGTTTATACAAGCTATCTGTCATCCATTAAAATTTTAATTATAATTTCGTTAGGGTGTCAACAAGGCTGATATTTACAACAATCAGAAAAAAAGATTCACAAGCATCAATTCTTTGAAACAATACTGCCACCAAAAACAGCATTTGTTACTGTTTCCATTTAGCCAATACTAGTTTACCAAAATCCATTACTCCAGATTACTGCTCCTATTTATAGTTTCTTCCTAAGCATAATATAGGACAGCAATAATTCAACGAGTTTTTATTTATTTTTGTGGCAGGTGAGATAAAGAGAGGCTCCAACTGATTGTTATAAAATTGTATTCTTAAACTTCAAAGTTCAACATGTTTTAACCTCGATTCACAAAATATTCAATTAAGCTTTTATCTTAATTCAAATTCCATAAAAAGTAGTTATTTGGTTCAAAGTCCCTCATTCCTACCATTTGAAACAAGCCATCCACTCAACAGACTTCCAATAAATTTAACTTCAGTATAAATTCACAAAGTATCAATTGGTTCCCCTTCATGGAATCTGCATCAGGTATGGGTATGCCGATAAACACAATCCAACATCTTTTGGTAAGATGTAGTATGGACCTGAGCATGTAGAGAAAATCCATAGAACAGAATGAGAGAGAGAGAGGATGAAAACTTCAAGAGGGGTTGCACAGTGAAGGACTTTCATTCAACCAACCAAATTTTTTATGTTATATGCTGGAGCTACAAAATTTTCTGCCATGAAAAACTTTGCAATCTCCTACAAAAAGGGAATGTGCGAGTGTTTGCATGCATACAAATAGTAAACACACACCAGAGCCCATTTTGTACAATTTTCAATTAATGGTGGTAGAAGTTGAGAGAATATATTTGTCTCTGCAACTAAAGTAAATAAAAATAAATAATAAAAAATAAAAAAATTGAGTACAGAAATCATGTTAAAGAAACATGACTGGTAGAAGATGAAAAATGAACAAAGGAAATTCAATGATTGAGACTTCTGAAACCTATATTTTCGTTGGTCTCATGTCAGGCAGGACAATTCGCACTTATATACATAATCAACTACATTTGACTTTTCAGCGTAACGTTATACCAACTCCCAATAATCGTAATTGTAATCTCTATATCAGGCAGGAAAGTAAATTAACCTCCGTTAGGTTACCAAGAAAATTGACGAAAAGAAATTGTTATTCATAGTCACCAGCTCTAGGATCCCATTTCAGGTCTCCGTTTGGTTACCGAGAAAATTGAGGAAAATAAATTGATACTCGAATTCACCAGCTCCCAATAATAGTAGTTAGGATCACCATTTCGGGTCAAAAAGTAAATTAACCTCCGTTTGGTAACAAAGAAATTGATTCGAAGTCACCAGCTCCCTAGGATCTTTATTTCAGGTCATAAAGTAAATTAATTGTCGAGAAAGGCTAAATAAATTGATATTGGAAGTCTGATAATAGCTGCTGTTTTCCCAAAACAATATATAAGCAAAAATTGAAATAAAAATAACTAAACAAAGTCAGGTCATTATATGTTTAAATTTAATTCTCTTTTATTTTCTTACGGATTCTCAGCACCCAAACAATAGTTATATTGATCAACTACAGTAAGAAATTCATGTACTACATAATATCAGTCCAGAAATAGAAACTTTAAAGGCATACAAAGCAATTCAGTGATCAAGACATATAGGCACATGCATGTATACGTATAGATGTATGTATGCATATGCAGAGAGAGAAAGTGAACCTCTAATGACGAGAAAAGGAGAGGAGATAATCAGAAAATAAGTTGCAGAGCTCAAAATAGGAAGCAATTAGACTTCAAAGCGCTGCTTGATCGATCTACTCGAATCCCAAACGGTGTTGGCTTAGCCAGAGATAACGTGAAAATCTAGAAACAAGAGCAGTGATATATATATATATATAGGAAACGCTATGATGAGTGATCCTGATTGCAGTTGCTATAAAGGTCACTGCCTTTTTTCCCTAACCATATAGAAATGTGTGACAAATAGTATGATTGCATCACTGTCAAAAAATTCAAAATCCAAAATTTATTTGCAATAGTCAAACTAATTAATTAAACTTTTATATTTTATTTATTTTGATTTAATTTGACCATTAATTTTAGTAAAATGTGTTAATCTAAATAAAAACTCATGACAAGTACACAACTACCTTTTTTTTGGAAAATAAGTACACAACTACTTGTGTTCAAACACATGAAGTAATGTTTTGATTCACCCAAAATGTTTTTAGTAGAGTGAAATAAAAATATAAAATTCATTTAGTTGAACTCAAATTAAAAATAAAAATAAAAAAGCTGGAGAGCTCTGTTATTGTTAATATTGAATTATTTTGAATTTAGGTTAAAATCTGAGTTTTGTTGAATTACTAGAAAAATATTATTTTTATCCAAATAATAAGGTACTCAATTTTATAAATTTTATTTATGTTTAAAGGTCAAAAAAATATATAACCTCTAAACTATTACAAAATGGCACGATAAAATTGGAAACTGGCTCTAGTAATTTGGGAAAATATATTACTGTATTCAAAGTAAAAACAAAAGCAAAATTTACATATTTGCCGTACAATACAACAATATTCTTGTTCTATCTGGAGTACCTAGACTATTATAATTGGCAAAATTTATGTTTGCCAATTATAATTGTGTCGACATAAGAATATTATACTAAATAGGCAAACTCAAACACAACCCGTTTAATAATCGTATCACGGACCCTCAATACTAATTCAACATATTTGTTAAACAGGTTACAAAATGAGACATTTAATACTCAATTAAATAATAAATATAAAAAAATATATAAGTTTTGATTAAAATAATATTCAAAGTAAGAGCAAAAATATCAAACACCCAATAATCAAGTAGATATAATACAAATGTTTAAGTTAAAATTATAAGGTGTAATCAAGATTTACGTTGAAATGATTTAACTGTCCATAATAATTGAGACTACGTATATAACAGATTACACATGTCATATTCACAATTATAATACGTTGAGTTAAATGAGTTATACTAAACGGGTTGAATCCCTCAATCACAACACGACACAATTAAACAAACGGGTTAATCATGTAAGTCCGTTTATGACCCAAATCGTTTAAAGTTAATCTAAATCCGCTTACCCCGTATTATGTTTGACAAGTCACGTCAATATTTGCCATCCTTAACTATGTTGCTCTGGAACCATCCCATGCTAATTCCTCTTTACAAGCTTTTAATAGTCCTTTAAATAGCTCAACGCAAATTTAAGTAGAAAGTGTAGTTGATGTAAAAATAATAATAAATAAATAAAAGAAGAATAAAAAATAAAAAAATAAAAAAGGAAAAACATGACATTGTGTATACTTAAAGTATCAAATAAATGTAATGTATCTAATAAATTTTTGGTTGTCAATTTGTATAATTAGGCTATTTAATTGATTGACATGTGATTATTATTATTATTATTTTCCTTCTATAAATACTACTGTAATTTACCTGTTGGCCAAAATATTACTTTCTTTCTTAAAAATTTATACTCCTTAATATATATATATATATATATTTTATACTCCGTAATATGAAGATGACGAAACGTCGCTTGCGGATCATCTGTGTACGGCAGGTGGTGTCCAAGCGGGAGAGTTTGAGCACGAGCTATCACTGTGACAAGTGGGACCCATTACAAGAAAGTACTATTTTTTTTTTTCACCCATTACACGAAAGTTACTACTTACAAGCTTCTAATGGTCGTGATCTTTTTGGTTTGATACTTTTAATTAGGTGACTTTCTGTATCCAAGTGCCCTAAAATATATTGTAGTCTGTTGAATTTGAAAAATAATGGGGCCCACAATGCATATAGATATAGATTTAGAAGTTCACGATGGAGACCTAATCTGATAAACCAAATCAACTCTTTACAGGTTGATATATAAGTAATATTTAAAATACCTATACGTATATTTTATGAAGAAAGATGAAAAAAGTAAGTAGTTACTACTTGTACTAGTTGATAATAACAAAATTATTCTTTTAAAATGTATTAGATGACATTATTAGCATAATCATTTTCTAAGTACATTTTAACTTAACTGCCCAATGGGTTAAGTAGTTTTCACACCAATATTAAAAGAGAAAATTGTTCTTTAAGTTTGGGTGCATAAAGTGTCTGAGTTTACAAGTCAAAAATGTATGTGAACTTGAACTGAATATACCAAGAATAGAGACTACGTGATAATTGAGAAATATGATCTTACAAAAAGTAAGATTTAATTTAATTTTTTTTTAGGTTGGGTTTTTATCATCTAATTTTCGAAGCTTAGCTCACATGATTTATGATCCTTTCGATGTTTGACTGACCTATCCTTATTTTTAAATTATATATATATATATATAATTACACACACACCACACACATATATATATTTAAATTTTATAAATTTCTCCACTCAATTTAAGATAATATCCCAATATATATATTCTTATTGTTCAATATTGCTTTCTCTCCTATACATTTTTTTTTTAAGATCCGTGACGGCATGGAGGAGTGATCTCCACCTTACCTTATCCCTGTGCATGGACTATTCAATGTAGAGAAGATAATAAAGTTTGAGTTAAATTAAGTAGCCAAATTTTTTTTTTTATCATTTGTTTCAAAATTTTAACCTTAATGACTTCTAATCACCGTTATGAAATTAGAAGTAAAAAACATGTAAACTAAAAAGTAATAATGAAAAGACAGAATTCTGCATGTGTTGTGTACTGCAGAGGGTCCATATCGATAATGAGATAGAGAGTCGAGGATAACAATCTCAGTATAAACCCATAGATAGCACTTCTGTGAGCCTCAGATTTCAGGTTTTGAAACAAATTATAGAGATTTGTTTTTAAGGATGTCCCACTGTCCTCCTCCCGTGTCACTTTCCTTAGGCGCCTCGGTCTCAGCCGCCTCTGGCCACACACGCTGAACACACGGAGAGACCTGTGAGCATCTTTTGGTCCACCATTATGCTATGCCACACACATAATTAACATTTTGGAACCACCAGCTCAATGCTTGTTGTACGTGATGCGACTACCAACACGATAAAAAAGAGCAGTTGATTACGTAATCTAACGACCTGAATGTACATTTGGGTGGCAATAATAGGATATATTCTAAAGTTGTATAGAATATTTTTGCTAGGATATATTTGGTTAAGCCAAAATTTTAAAGTTCAGAATAGGAATAAGTACTATACCACAAACTCGTGTATTCAAAATGGATTATTTTTGCATTTCGTAGGTGGCCGGATCATTCCTCCTATTTCCATCAATTAAAGATTAATAATAGGAGGAATGATATATATATATATATATATATATATGTATGTATGACATAGATAGGTAATCAAATTTTTATGTTCTTAAAGAAAGAAATTAATTTATGTTTTACAGTTTTGGGAGTGAAAACATTTTATCTTTAAAGAAATTGGCATCCAGTTTTGTATGAAATAATAGTAGTCACTCATTTTAATTCAGTTTTTTTTTTTTTTTTTTTTTTTTTTTTTAGAAAGGTAAATATGTAGCTTTCAAACAATGCCTTCAGTGGTTCGAACACCCGATCTCCCATTTGGAAAATGAAAACTTGTATTAGCTAGGCTATAGCCCTTTTCATTTAATTCAGCGGTTAACGTGAGCAAATGATCATACGTAAACTTTAGACTCAATTTCGGTGATTTTGTTTTGAAAGTCAGAATGTAGCTTAATTGAGTCCAAATTTGATAATTTGAAGTTAATTAGATTACAGTAAAATAGATTTGTAAGTCTGACATTTATTTGTGACTATAATTCGATCCCAATCTTTTCATTTTGATTTTATTCATCAAATGACATGTATGTTATAATTCATAACTGCTTTGACTAGTTAGTAAGAAGTTATGAACAAGAGCGTATGATGTGAACTCAATAGAATTAAAAACATAATTCAATTCTACTAAATGACTAACCAAAATATGATACTAAAATTTTGATTCTGGTGTGAATTTTTTTCTTTCCTAATTTATTTGGATGCGTATTAAGTATTAAATGACACACTATTTAAGAAATGCATAATTAAATTTATTAATGCATGCAGGGGAGATTTTCTATTTCAAATTTTTAATCTTATGTTGTTTAACTTACCGATCAACTTCACGGTTTCCGATCAACCTAACTTTAAAGAGAACGAGATGGGTTTGAGTTCAAATGTGAACAAAAAAATATGTGTAAATTGCTTTGTCATTCGAAAAAGGGTAAAAATAATAATAATAAAATAAAAATAAACTTCATGACTTCCACGTATATTTCAATGGTAATCATGGGCGGAGGCAGCATGTGCCCAGAGGGCTCTGCCCATGCTGTCCCAATAGAATTTTTTATTTTTGTTTTTACATAAATTTGTAAAATTTGATAAAATGTCCCCCTAAAATTAATAAAATAGCTCCTTTGACCCTGAATTCATTAAATTTTATTTTATGTTTTGCGTATAATTTATAAATATTTATAAAACACCCCCATAAAATTTATAAATTTATCTCCCATAAAATTATCTATTTCTAAAAATGTCTTTAATTCTTTGTTCCTTTTCCTTATTATTCTTCAAATTTATTTTTATCGTCTTCAAAAAATTTTATATTCTCTTTTTACAATTAAAGTCTATTTTTTCCTTTAAAATTCTCTCATATATATATTTTTTTTTCATTTTTCTTCTTAAAAATTTATTTTTTCTTCCACTCATGCATAATTTATGTGCAATTAATCTTCTTTTTCTTTTTTCTCTTCTTATTTATTTTTTCTTCCACTGTTGTTACATTATTATATTTTACGCATGTTTGAAAAAAATTTATTTTATTAGTGTTAACATACCTTTCCAGAACCAAAGCCCTGACTCCGCCTTGATTGTAATCTTACAAAAACCAGAATATTG